CACACACACACACACACACACACACACACACACACACACACACACACACACAGTGTGGTGGAGCAGGAGGACAGGGAGGTTTGACTACGAGCAGGCAGGATTGGGAGGGTTTGAGGAGGATGTCCATGGGAGTGTGAGGGGAGAGGGTATTTTTGACAGAGTTGATCAGCTGTGCGTGTGTGTGGTCACTGATGACTCATGAGTGATGCGAAAAATGGACTGACCGGTTTGGGTTTCTCTTCCCCTTGTTTTGCGTTCTCCTTGAGGGCCTGTGTGTCTTCTGTGTCTTTCTGAACAGAGGACATTAAAAATAAGCTATTAAACTAAAATCTGATTACTTGTGCATCGACAAAGGACCATACCAGTTGTTTGCATATTTAACTTTTGAACTAGAAATCATGGATAGTACAATTTACATCTTTGCTGACCACTTTCAAACACATGCCAGTTTAGATTATCAAATTATAATTTGTTTCCTGTTATTTCAGCTAACCATTGTTTTTGATGTATCTTTGTACTATATGAGAATCAACATCTCGTTGCAGTTTGGGCTAAACTGCAAAGAGATAAAATCTAAAACTGGTGGGACTTGTCGTTCAGTTAGCATAAAACGGCCTGTTAGCATGATTAGCTTTCTCTGTTGAAGCAAATGAGCACAGACGGATGATCAGAGGCTAACGGCTAGATGAGCCTCTTGTTTTCAAACCAGTATGTTACGACTGCATGGGCACCATCCTTAAAATGGCTCGTCAGTAAACACTAAATATGTCAGATGTCCATGTTTTCTAGTTTCCCATCTGATGTAATTGAGTTTTACAAGCGAAGGTTTTGGCTGGCCTGGGGCACCCTGGTGGCGTAGAGGTTGTTGTTGGGGCTCGTTTGGGTTTGTTCTGTCATCTCTCTACAGTGACCGTGGTAAATAAAAGCTTAAATAAATACCCCAAATACTTATAAACCGGTTTTGCATGGTCTTTGCAAAACAAGTTGCAAGACGAGCTGATTATAGATATTTGAAGCTGTCGCCTGTGACATTTACTAAAGGTATGAGAGCCTCTCAACAAGACCAGGCAAGACAAGTTAAGGTGGAATGCAGACTGACCCTGTGAGTAAAAAGATTCTCAAACACTTAAACCTCTGACTTTATAGAGGCAAGACAAAGCGTCTCAGAATGCCTTACATTCACCCACTCACACTAAAGTGGTGTTGGAGTAAGACGCTAAACTCCTGACAGCATCAGTGGACTGTGGTGTGTAGCTGCACGAATAGGAATCTTCCCGTTCGATCTATTAAACGTCAAAGCACCTGTTTGTTGCCGGATGACTTCTCACTGCTTGCAGATGGCTCCTCGTCATCTGAGCTTGTCTGCTTCTCATGCTGCAGAGACAACAGAGATCATTATTTCATGAAAAACACGTACACGACACTCTTTTGATACATCCATTTCTCTCAAAAGATTACAATCTCAACCTTCCTTACTTTGTTTGGAGATCGAAATGGGTTCATCTTTTCCATCGCCTCAGAAAATTTACTCTGAATATGTAACAAAACACAAAAAGGAGGACAAAAAAACAAAATAAGGACCAGATACGCAAGTTAAATTTAAGATTGAAACCATCAGACAAAAACTTTTATGATGACTACTCAAAAACCTGTTTGTGACTGGGCTGGCTCTCTTCATTGTCCACTATCTCCTCACAGTCAGAGTCCTTCTCCTGCAGATGGAGCAAATAGTTGTTGTAAAAAAAACAATACTAGTACTAGTATGACCAGCTTTACATCATCTGTGGATTACTTCATAGTTTAAAAAATACATATATCTTCAGGCTTTAATGTGTGATGATGAAATGACAGTACGGCACTTCTTACCTGCTTGTCAGTGTGGAAGGTGCTCTTGATCATCGCACTAAAACCGTTCTGAAATAAGACAGAAACACCTTAAATAAAACTGACCTTTACTTTAATGTCGCAGCAGATCCTAGTCCTAAACATTCAGACAAAAAAATGAATTTCTTTGAGCCCGTTACCAACATCAGAAAGCTGCCATGATGTCTCGGTAGAGTCCAAACTGTTACCATAACAACCCACCTGCTTGGCTTTGGGCTTCTCTGCAGCAGAGGTATTCTCACTTAAGTCTCCCGAGTGTCCCGTCTTTTCCTTATCCTGTTACAACACAATGCACGTTACCAGCGTGTAATTACTGGTGGCCGACGGTGTAATGTACTTGCTGGTGGAGTCATTTATCAGATGCAGCATTAAAACGTGAGATTAAATTACCTGAGATGAGGAGGTGAAAGGATTCTTCAGGATCTTTGCTGGAGCTCCACCCTGACATACAATTCAAAGTGGTTTAAGTTACAAACTGATTTTATCTACTGGGTATTCTGTTAGTGTTGATGCATCACAGCTGCAGGTTGAACTCTCACCTTTGACGGTTTCTCTGTGAGACTGTCACTGCTGGCAGAGAGCTCACTATCCACAGACAGATCATCCTAAACGGAGGGATACATCAAAAGTTTGTGACCGAAACATTGAGCTGTTTTTAACTAGAAAACAACCAAAACTGTTGGCACCGTAAAGCTGGCAAGAAAAAAAAAAAGAGAACTAAGTTACTGCATCAACAAAATGTACATGGGAGAAGATAATAAAGCCTCTCGGTATAGAATTTGAATGTGAATATCTTTTGTTTTTGTTTTAAAAATACATTTAAAATGTATTTATTTATTTACCCATCCATTTCTCTTGCGTCATATCTCATAACAAACAATATATCCCTAAAACAGAATCCTTAACTCTTTGAGATTTTGATAAACTCGACCATCTTACCTGAGACTGAGATTTGGCCCCTTTCTTTTTGAACACACCACCAAAGATGCCTCCTTTCTCCTGATGAAAACAATATAATGTCACCACATTTACGGTTAAGTTGTGATCTTGCAGTCTTACAGTGGCTGGCTTTAACAAACCTCACCTTAGTGTTCTCAGACAGATTGTCGTTGCTGCCTGAGAGCTCACTGGGTTCAGACAAACACTCCTGAAGGCAACAAACAAAAGTCAATCAATATTGATCCTGTCCTAATAATTCATAGTAACGTGGTTTAATGGTGAGAGGAATAAGCTGCAGCAATACTCCATGACTCTCACCTGAGATTGTGTCCTCGCTCCAAAAGGCTTTGGAGACTTTTTAAACATCCCACCAAACATCCCTCCTGTTTCCTGCAGAAAAAAAGTCCCATTAAAATATTTTTGGGGAAATTTAAAATTTAAATTGAGGAATAGGTAGCAATGCTCTGGTTTAAAAAAATCTCACCTTAGTGTTGCTATTCACAGACAGATTGTCGCTGCTGCCTGAGAGCTCGCTGGGTGCCGACAAATCCTCCTGAAGGCAAGAAACAAACGTCCCCTACTGATTATTATCACCATCTCATAAAGATATAACAAAGGCAAAAGTGAGACGCACAACTCTCACCTGAGATTGTGTCCTCGCTCCGAAAGGCTTTGGCGATTTTTTAAACATCCCACTGAACATCCCTCCTGTTTCCTGGAGAAAGAACATCACATGAAAATTGTTTGCAAAACTTTGCCCATAATGGAGGAATTAATTTACATGTTCGCACCTGGTTTCATATGGACAGGTAGGTAGGGAGTTCAAAAAGCCGCCTGTACCCTCATACAAATACTGATGCATGCAGGATTACCTCACCTTCTCCCAAACTCACTATCAGCTGAGTCGAGTTCAATACAAACAGCTTTACGACAGTCATGCTATTCCACAATTCAATGAAACTGCCGTGCACTCAAACCAGAAAAAAAGATCTGATGTCACGTTTCTGATTTGGTTCATGAATGAATATGAAAGAGTAAGGACATTTCTATTTCAAAGAACAGTGCATCTGTGTTTCTACTTGTTGATCGTGCAAATTTACAGACCAAAGTTGAACTAAAGTGAGTCCAACAGGGCCATCTGCAAAATGCATCGAAACAGGAAAAGCATACTTGAATCAGTCAAACAAACTTTAAACCTTAGCGTTCAAACCTCACCTTAGTGTTGCTATTCACAGAAAGATTGTCTTTGCTGCCCGAGAGCTCGCTGGGTGCAGACAAATCCTCCTGAAGGCAAGAAACAAATGTCCCTTATTGATTATTATCATTTTCTAATAATATAACAAAGGTAAAAGTGAGAAAAGTGAGATGCACAACTCTCACCTGAGATTGTGTCCTCGCTCCAAAAGGCTTAGATTTTTTAAACATCCCGCTGAACACCCCTCCTTTCTCCTGGAGAATAACACGTCATATAATAATTATTTATACATTTAAAAATAAACTGCTGCAGCTGTCAGGGGGACAGGCAGGGATTTAGTGCTTCACACGTGGGCCAGCAGTTCTTCCAAATTGCTGATGCATGCAGGTTCAAGCATGCGCCTCCAAACACAAAACAACAAAAACACACCCTCCTCAAACTCACCATCCAGTGAGGCGATCGCTACACACCTATTGTAGGTTAGACAACACCACCAACATCGTCACTAGTCAACACGGAGGAAGAACTCAATGCTCTTTTAGCATAAAATCTAATTTGATGCGTTTTCTACTTCATTAGTGTTTAATAATCTGAAGCTTTGGAACGATTTTAAGAAATATTTATGCGAGATTAGTTACAGTAATAACATAAACATTAATTAAATTCAACTTCATCATAGTTAGTAAGGATTTTTTTGTGAGCTCACACAACAATGTTACTGCGAAACATCACAAATACATTCTATTCAATGCATCTATTTTTGTTAATATTCTTTATATTGTATCACATTTGTCTTTTAGATTTGTTTTGTATTAGTGTTATTTTGGTATTCATTGTATGAATACTGTATATGTTTCCAGTTGATTGTGGGGGTTTTCCAAAGCATTTTAAAACATGATTTGGCTGATGAGACTCACCTTAGTCGTGGTGTTCTCAGACAGACTGTCGTTACTGGCTGTGAACTCGGTGTCCAAAAGATCCTGAAACACAAAAGATGATCCGTCAGCCTCTTTGTGAAACAACACAGCATGTTACATGTTACATGTCAGGCATTCAGCTGATGATATATCGCTGGCTGCAGGACACGTTATAGTAGATCATGTTTCACCTGTGAAGGCCTCCGGACATGTCCTGGTTTAGATCGTTTCAGTAGCCCACCGAACACACCCGATTTTTCCTGAAGACAAAAGTGCAGCGAAAGGTTTAGTTTCAGAGACTAATATTTAAAAAACTAAAATATGGCCCAGCAGAAAGTCGACTCACCTTTGACGACTTGTTGTCTGTTAAGATGCCACTACTGACAGACAGTTCAGGATTATGTATTTTGAGGGAGACCTATAGGAGATTAAAAAAAGCTTGTCACAAGCTTGAGTAACACACTCAGGTACTCGGGGCAGAAAGACTTTTAGAGTAATTACAAAAGACTTTTAGAGAATAACAGAAAAATGTAATATTAGAAACAACATGTAAGAAAGCAGGTGGAAGAATAATAAATGCAAATAAATTGATTAAAAAAAACATTTTTCAATTTCTGCGACCTCAACCTTTGACTGCACATGCAGTACTAATAAATTAATTCAAAATTAAAATAACTAGGTAATGAATTTGATTATCGATTCATCTGCTGATAACTTTTTCAACTGATGAATTATTAATCATTTAGTCAATACATCTCAGAAAATAGCATAATATAACCAGAGTTGATGGTCCAAAACACAAATATATTTAATATAAAGTGAAATATAAAACAGAGAAAGCATCAAATCATCGCATTTAAGGAGCTGAAATATTTTGTTGATAAACTAATTGACAATTTCACTTCGTTACATTTTTTTTTAAAAAGCAACAAGATCTACATCACAGAGGGCCACTACAAACCTCTGGCTGCCAGTCTTTAGCAGCTTTGGTTGTCTTCTTAAACACTCCTTTAAATACGCCCCCCTTCTCCTGAAATAGGAAGAAATAAGTTGGTCTACATGCTAAAAATCACTGTCACATGTTTATCATGTTTCCTCATTATATTAGTACATGAAAGTAGTTAGCGATGTCGATATAAAAATAAAACACAACACAGCCCAAAGAATTAACACCCGAGCATCACCTTGGTGCTGTTGTCAGTCAGACTATCGCTGCTCTTTGAAAGTTCACTGCTGAGCGATAAACTGTCCTGTAAAGTCAACATGAAGCCCATGTGAGTAGAGGCAGAATCAAATAGTGTAAATCCAAGATTACAGGTTATATTCTAAGCTTCTAATCAAAATTATACAGCTTACAAAATAGCATTTGCATTTTACTGGTGTATACAGCAAATTCTTTACATTTTGTGTCAAATATTCCGTTCAATACGTATATTCAATACATCAGTGAATAATGGTCACCAGGGCCCTTTTCGTGACAAGCGAAATCAAACTAATTTGATATCAACTTGCAGTTCTAAATTAAAAACATCACCTGTGCTTGGAGAAGTGGTTCAGCAGACTTGGTGGATTTTTTGAACATCCCACCGAATATCGCTGCTTTTTGCTGAATGAGGAGTAAAAAAAAAAAAGGAAAATGAAACTTGCAAAAACTAATTTATGCATCTAAAACGTACTCGAGGATAAAAACACTCTTTTGTGGTTTCAGCCAGTGTGACTGAGTAACAGGTTAACAGTCACTCTACGGAGCCACTTAACACAATAACATGTTAATCCGCTGCTAAGAATAATCCCTCATAAATGAAATATTTACCCCTTTAGGCAGTGTTTGTTTCAAAGCTGCAGTGACCCAGTGTTTTATGAAATCACTGAGCCAATGTTAACAATGAAATTATACACCTAATTTCAAAGATGGTCATCTTCAGTAGGAACCATTGGCTTGTGGCTGAGTGCCTCAAAGTACTGAGAGTATTTATACATTTGTAAATTAGAAAAAATATTGAATAACACCAGCCTTGTTCTTTACTTAAGGGGAACTTGACCTTCATTATTCCTGTTTTGTACAATGGTTAATCATATAACTACTCCATAGCAAGCCTGGTGTGTGTGTGTGTGTGTGTGTGTGTGTGTGTGAATGTGTTTAAAAAGTGGCACATTGTTACCCTGAGGGAATCTAGTAGGTTAATCCAGCAATGATAATAGAGCTACAGTTTCAACACTGTGCACTCAAATTAAAGCTGAAAGTCAGCATTTTACCCTCACAGTCATTGTTTAGAGTCAAGTCCATTGAGCTGGAGTATAGAGCCAGCATGAGACAATATGTCACCGTCTACCAGTGGTGGAGGAAGTTCTCAGATACTTCAGTTAAGTAAAAGTAGCGATACCACAGAGTAGAAATACTATTATTTTGTAACAGTCCTGCAATATATACTGACAGTTTAAGTCACAGGGACGTATCCAACAACATTACTCACAGCTACGCCTCCTTCTTCACAATCCAGATCCAGATCCAGGTCACCGTACCGATCCTGTCAAACAGCAGTAAATGAACGTTACATCTCCAGCTGTGAAGTTCATTAACCGACATTTTCCAAAACCGAACGTTACCGATACAGTTTGTCTCGAGGAAAAGCGACGTAAAGACGAACGTCGGTCGTGTTTTAAAAGAGCACTTTAAACGTTTACGCACCATCAGAGCTGCTCCGCGTCTGCCCTCGTTGAGTGTTTGGTTATTCAACGTTTAATTAGTCGAAACGTTTCAATCCTCAGCGAGAGTTTCTTTCCGTCCCTGTGATGATACTGTCGGTTGTTTTCCCTCACTAAAGCTGGGAAGTTAAAGATCCTCCCTCCTCAGTGAAAACAACAAGTACAAGAGGAAAACAAAGACACCGGCCGAAGAGCAGAGACTTTCCACGGGAGCATTGTGTGGGTTTTTTTCATAAAGCAGACATCACTGAAACCGGTGGATCCAGCTCTTCTTCTTCTTCTTCTTTAACCTGTGCTGTGCTCCAGGTGAGGGCGTCTCCGTCTCACCTGGGAGTCTGACGTCAGCGTGGTGCTGCCTTCAGGTGCTGCTCGGAACATTTTTGATCATTACGCACGAGATTACGCCGGTGTTTCGGTGTATCCAGCGACCCTGTTAACTGGCGACCTTCAGCCAAACGCGTCCGTGGTTGTCGTAGTTACTACAGCTGTTGTAAACAGGAAGACAACACTTGGCTGTCTTGGTGAATGCTGCACGGAGTACTTCTACATGACACGCGTTTACCCAAAACAGGCTCCAAAGACGATTTATGTGTATTTACTAACTTTATCATTTAAAAGGAAGAGCAACTTGCTCCCTTCCTGTTTCAACACATAAACAAGCTAAACGCGTCGCCTCTGCTGCCCTCTGCTGCTGCTGCTCGCCCTTCTTTCTACATAAGTGTGGCTTTCATAATGGCTACAATGTTTACATTTTATTCTTAATGTCATTACATTTTTTTTTTAGAAGGAAAAAAAAGTTAAGAAGCTTGTGCTCATTTGTAAATAATAATACTTCACTATTTAAAGCTGACACTTTATTCATTTATGCATTTCCCACAACACAAAGGTGTATATGGCCCGAGGCATATCAAACTATATTGCAACATGTGATTAGTAACTGTCCCATTAAGGTTAAAATCTATATTAATTTTATGGCAAAACCATTCAAATCCAGTGTGCAGCAGTGGAAATAGTTTTATTTACTTGACATGTTTATTGCACTAAATGTGACCAGCTGCCAATACAACAGAAGCAATTCAGTGCAGATAACAGAGTTGTAAAATCATTCGCTGATAAGCTGTGTTTACATATCTGCCATTGATGTCTCACAACTAAACAGCGTCTCTGTTTTCATCAAACATGATTCAAATAGCAATCAAATCTAATCCTCCTGCTTTTTAAATACAATAATGTACTGTCAACAAAATCTGACAATAACAAGAACATTACGACACCTTTTCTTGTCCCAGGAATAGAAAATAAATGCTACCAATTCAATTAATCCTTTATTGACTATTTATTGTATGTAATACTTTCTTCCCATTCAACAATTTTGGGGTAAATCTATATTTTCTGAATTAGTCCTTAAAAAAAAAACACATTAAACCAAAGTGCATTACATTTATTATCAAATAAAAGATAATTTTCTTCTCATTAAACACCCCAAGTGATTCATATCCCACATTCCGTTACAATAGAAAAAAAAAAAAAAAAAAAGAAAAAAAAAATAGAGACCATTCCTTAATTCAGCTCACACAAAACTATAACTGATAGTATTTTTAAGGCTTTATATATACACCTGCTTGTTACATTTGCAGGTTTTTTCACTATCTAAATCAACTATAAACTATTACCTAGATGCTTATCCCCGTTATATGATGAATATTTATTTTATATATTTACTGCATAGTCACCGTCATTTAGACAGAGAGGAAGCAAAACATTATTGGCAATCTTTGATTACAGTAGCGTTTAAGCATTTTTCTGAAACGCTGAATTTAGTGGTTAATATCTTGAGGATTATTCTTTCCAGGAGAGAAAGTAGAGCTTTCCCTGTCCGTCACCACAAACCAGTTCAGTCGGGTTTGCAGGGTTCACCTCCAAATGCAAAACAGGACCTCCACACGCAAACATACCAACCTGGAGAAAGAGAAAGAGAGAGGGCAGAAGGCAAATTAAGACCATTTGAAATTATTTAAAAATTAATGTGAAGGAAGAAGTTTATCGGTATGCTGCGTAAGAAGAGAACCAAACTTTCAGAGTACGCTCATTCGCTTTCTTGCCCAGAGTTTGATGAGAAGACCGGTACCATCTCTCCATTAAATGTGAAGCTAGAGCCAGCTGGTTAGCTTAGCACAAAGACTGGCAAAAGGGAGGAACAGCTAGCCTCGCTCTGTACGCGAGAGAGCAAAACAGCGCGATTCCCAAAATGTGGTTATTCTCGTAAGACTGTTGACGTACCTGTTTCTTGGTGTTTCTGTCCCACAGCTTCACTGTCCTGTCGTAGGAGGCTGAGATGATGGTGCGCTCTGTGAGTTTCAGCACACTGATCCTGTCACTGTGAGCCTGGAGACAGAACATTATCATCATCATTAAAAACAATACAAAGTGAAGCCTTGGCTTAAAGCAACGGCCGATTATTTCTGATGTTTGCTTTTATTTCTTTGTCAGGTCAGATGGGAGGGTTTTGTCAAAACACAGCTGCTTTTTTCTTCTTCTTTAAATAAATTAAGGGCACGTTTACAGTTGAAAGTTGTGCTAAAACCATTATTCGAAAAAGAGAAGATTAATCAACAACAATTCTGATAAACAAATGATTTATTAAGAAAAAAAAGCCAAATATTTGGTGGTTCCAGCTTCTCAAATGTAAGGGCTTCTTTCATTTCACCTTGGGCTCTTGGAAATTGTGGTGGGCATTTTTCAACATTTTGATTTTATTAATGAAATCAATGATCAAACATGTTGCAGCCATTGTTGAAAGTAGCAGTAATACCTCACTACAAATATAAAAATGTCTTATGATCTGTTTCAGAGTCTCTCCACTCTTACAGGTTTTCTACTGCTCCACGAGGAAACATCTGCAGGCTTGTTGAACCACATGTTGCCTTTCACGTCTCCACACACGACAAATTCTGAAAGAACATACAACGCATTGTTTATTGTGCGATTATCCAAACGGCTGCAGTGGGAACGGAACAGATGTTAGTACCTTTGTCCACAGTTCCAGCTGTTAGAGGACTCCCTTTCTCCTCCTCTTTGTCGGTCTCTAGGTCCATTGAGCTGAAAGCTGTATTGAAATCATTTTTGGGGCCCATCGCAAACTGAGGAAGAAGAGGACAATCGACATTTACTCTAAATTAAGTATGTGGTACACTAGAGCGCAGGTTTCATGAGTAAATCTGAGAGCTCCAACAAACATTTTTTGTATTCTAAAAATATTCTTGGTATAATTTAGAGTTAAGTTTGGCAAAACTCACAATGAAGCCAATTCTGACTTTTCCGTCTCCTTCGCCCACCAGCCACATGCTTTTCTCGTCGTTTTGGATCATCCCCAAAATTCGGCAATCTTGTTCCCAACTGCATTATTAGACAAATACACAAATTTAAGGTTGGTTTAATTATTCGGGGCTTTAAAAAAATATAACCCTTCAGTGTTTAACAAACACAACCCAACAGCACCACCAGAACTGAGCTGAGCTGTGTGTCACATCAAACATTTCAGGAAGAAGAGAGTTTTCTCTCAAATTAAAAAACCTGATGATAAAGTTAAACTTTGACAATGATTCATTAAGACCCTGAAAAACCTGGACAAAGATTTGAGTAAATAGTACACTCTGTAGTGTTACCTTCTAACTTCGCTTTCCTGATCATCTGCCTTGTCTTTTGTGACATCAAAGATTGTTCCAATGTCCGACACACCCATCAGGACAGAGCAGTAGTTGAGGCGGACCACTGGGTGTTTCGTTGAGTACGTGATTACCTTCACCAGGCTGGAAGCAACAGAAACACCGGGACAGAGCCGGACTGGTTAGTGGGTAGAAGCAAACTCCTCACATCTTATTTTATATATTTACAGTCTCCATAGAATTAACTCACCGTAACCCTCTACCCCAAAATGTGTTTTACTTGTTGTCATTTGGATGTCTGAGCTTCACTGTGCAGAAAGATGCATGTGCAGGGTTTGTCTTAAAATATGTTTTTAGGAAATTTTTTAAAATTGTGTCATTTTTGTTGGCGTTCAGTCTTTCAAAAACATTTTCACTGCAGAAAACTGCTCACTTCTCCAATTTACAGAATCAACCATTTAAATGGGAAATGACACTGTTGGGTTTAATTCATGTTGTCTCCAAATTCACACCGATGATTAATTCGGAGACTAAATTAAAAAAATACTCATTTAGATCTTAGTTACTTTTTTTTCAAATTTTTAACAGAAGGTAAGACTGATGACTGTCAGTTTGTAATTACATGTTCTCCCCATCACATTCATTTGTCACCTGCAAATCAATGCTGGTATAAATAAAAGTGTATTTATTGTTTTATTCTGTTGATGTCTCATGTTTTGTTTCCCCAGGTCTTTATTGTAAATGATGATTCATTCATAAAAAAAAACAAAAAGTAGTGTCGGCCCCGTGTGATAGCATGGCGACTGTTTTGCAGTTGTTTACCTTGCAGCGCCGTGTTGTCGATTCCACACCAGCTTCCACACATCAACAGCGAGCTTCGTGTAGCCGACAGCAAACTGGTCATCAGGCATGGAGCAGATCGCTGTGACGGAGCTGTCTGAAGCCTGATGCACACAAACAGACACGCTACGTGTGATTAACACAGACACAAAAACACACGCGTGTCCAGTATACATCCCTTTTTCCGGTGCATGTCTTCACCTGCTTCTGGCCGACCAGAGCGTTGTGCTGCCAAACTTCCAGCAAACCGGATTCATAACCAGCAAGAAGCAAAGCATCTCTCTGAGAGAAGCACAGAGCTGCGACTGGTCCTCTCAGACTGGGAAGACTCTCTGAAAGACAGAACACAGAGTTTTCATAATAAATGTCACACACAACATATATTAAGACACCCACAGGTAACCAGGTACTGTCTCCTTCACTGAGCAGCCTCAGGAGACTGTTACTAGTGATAAATACAGACGAGGGTGGTTTCAAATGATGTGGGTGACCTGAAACATTGTGACTTATTGGATGATTGAGGGTGTGAATAAACATCGACAGAAAAGGAGATGCAATTGACACAATGTTAACACATTTCTCTCAATTAGTGTGATCCAACTATTTTATTCCTAGAATTGGATAAGTAATTACGAATATCTCAATAATGTATGAAAATATTGTGATTTTCTTCTGTTATTATTTATTTATTAATTTATTAAGGACAGTAAAAATAATTTGAAGTTGACTTGAATGCATTAAAAAAACAGAGCTTTACATTTAATGCTCACTGAGTATCCACTGTGAACCATTTTCTTTCTTAATGGCATCTTATGTGAAGGAAGAATATAAAGGATTACCCGTTGCCCACGTCCAGCATCGCAATGAGCAGTCTTCAGAAACTGTGAGGAATTCTGGGAGTTCTTCTTTGCAAACAACTCCACATATCGCACCACTGTGACCCTGTAAGGTGCCAAAGTGCTCCACCTGTATGTAAAGATACAGAATGTGAGAGAAGACACATAAAACAAAAACATTTTATTATATTACGGACCCTATGGAAATCAGTTTTTGCTCTGCATCGAGATCAAATTCAAAGAAAATGTTTGAATAAAACTATAAAGCATAAATAGGACAAAAATCATGTACATTATTATGAAATATTTACTAAATTGGGAAAAAACAACAACTTTAAAACCAGTTCCCTATTCCCTATATTTTGACTGACAGACCTGTAGTGGTTTCCAGAGATGCACTGTGCCATCCTCAGAAGCAGTGAAAACAGTCATTTCTTCTGCGTTGACTTCTTTGTTCTGGTCTTAAAAAACAAATTAAAAATACAAAAATAACTTTTAATATATTAAAAATAAGACTCACTATACTGGCCAATATGACAGAGAGAGAGGGACAGACAAATGAATGTATGTGTGCACTCAATGCTTGGGCAGTTTACCTGTATTCGGTAGGAGTGAGCAGTGGTGTATACTTTTCCTGTGTGCAGCAATGTGGCAGATTTCTACGCTTGTTTCCCAGTTCCAAACATGTAGCGTTCCCTCTGTACTTCCGGCCATCACATACCGTCCCTGCACACAGAAACACCAAGTCAACAGAAATCCCCTAATGAGGCCGAGGGCTCACTTCATGCAAAAACAAAGACAGGCTCATTTGCTCCACCAATGCAACAATTATACGCATAAAGGTCTTTCAGGAGAGAAGGAAACAATACATTCTGTATTTTCTCCGATAGATAAATGTAGAATTTGCTCACAAGACAGCAGATAGACGTAAGAGGATTCCCCAAAGAGATTTCTCTGAGACGTTGGCCTGCCTGCAGATTCCATAAACAAAGCCTCCCATCGCTGGAAGAGCTAATCTGTGAGAAAAGAGGGAGGGTGATGAAGACAAGTTTGCATTAACACTACAGTGCTGTAAATAACACAGTATACTGTAGTCATAACAGCTCTATTCAGGGGCAGACCTGTGTGACTCAGGTTAGTTATATTTCTTTCATGTAATGAAGATTTACCACACAGTCTGGAGTCCAAACACAGCCGGTGATCCAGTCAGTGTGAGCGTGAAGGAGCGACTTTGAGAGAACAGCAGGAGAGGAACTCACATCCCACACCATCAGGGCCTGAAACAAAGACACCTGTCAGTACCGAGTCATACTGACACATCTCTCTGTTATTTAGTCCAATCAATGACCACAGGCTAAATAACAGAAACACCCGTCTGTGGTGCTGTTCAACTGTATTGCATTTTACAAACAACATCCTTTAAGTTGACTATAAAGTTGAATCAACACCTCACAAAAACAGTTTAAATCAAAAACTGAACATTATAACCGACATGAAGTTGGATTTATTGTAGGGTTGTTATATTTGACTGCATTTGTTTTAGCTTGATATCGTGATATCGTCAATTTAAACGGGAAAAGAGTTTGTTTATAGCCAAACGTTAGCTTTTTACCTCTGGCAAATGCAGTCACACTTCAAAAATCATTCGAGTGGAGTTCATTTGGGAAGATTATCTTGCTGAACAAAAAATGTAATTATCATAAATGTTTATTTGCCACCTAGCTTATTTTCTGCAATAACCCAAAGTCCACTGGAAAAATTGTCCCATTGTTTCCTTGAAAATCCATATGGCAAAACATGTATTAATACGGTCAGTGTTTGTATCAAAAACATAATTCTGATATTGTCAAAACGCTACAGCACAAACACTTTGCACCTTGTCTTTTCCACCGGAGAGTAGCTGTCCACCATCAGGGCTGAACGCCAGACAGGTGACTCCTCCACTGTGGCCCCTCAGATAATCATGATGCTCAATACTGGGGTCGAGGGCCAGATCGCTCAACAAACACAGAACAATGGAGAAGTTGTCTGATTCAAAGGGGAATACAGAAGGGAAAATAATAACATAGTTATCAGTAGAAAGACTGATGTTTTAGGAGAGAGAGTACCTTCCACCTGAGAAATATATATCAGAACATATAAAGGCACAGAGTGTAGCAGTGTGTAGCATTTGGGGGATCAACCACGCCACCAAATCCTACACACTGTCCCTTTAAAAAGGACATTTCTGTAAAACAATAGGTGATGTTTTTACTTCACCACCAGCGACGCTCACCTGAAGCTGTAGCCAGGTATGTGGAGTTTTGTGCTAATGTCTGGACGGTGCCTGGTTGCACATTAAACATTCCCCACATTTTCAGGCCTCCCAGCAGTCCCTTCTCTTCGTCTTCTTTCTTCCAGACCCTCACACGCTTGTCACTTCCTGCAGACAACAGCAGCTCAGGTTCGGTCTGCTCTGCGTCCAAAACGACCCACAGCAGGCTCAATATGGACACATCGAGGTCCGTGGAGTCCCAGATCTTCTCCCCTAAGATGGAAATAAAAATCGTTCTGGTCTGTTTTTTTTAAAAACACAGTGTCTTCATTTTGTGCAATATTCATACAGAAATAGAGGTGGTGAGTTGAATCAAAGGCCAATTCGGTTCAAGATTCAAGTGCATGCTCCTGCATGAGTCAGTACAATATAATCAGTAGGTTATTTATGTACTGTATGCCCATCTCCATGTGTATCTCAATGTTTTATCTCCTTGAAATATTTCTGTCTGTCCCTCTGTCTCCGTTGTTTTTTTAGGGGAAGTAAGTAAGTAAAGTATATTTTTAAAGCACCATTTCTGAGCTGCTTTTACTTTACAAGAAAAGACACAAACGAGACAGAAAGTATGGACACAATAAAGTGTAAGAAATAGAATAAGCAAAATTTAAAAAAGGATGAAATCTAAAAAAAACTGCTTTTTTCAGCAGGTGAAGTTTTGTTCCTGGTGAAATGTTTATGTTGCACAATAATCACGTGACTATAGCTATACAGACTTTTTTTTCTTTTAGGCATCATCTTCATATCTGTATTTGTCATCTACTTGTCAGATTGGTGTCTTCCAGTGATTTAATCTAGTAAAAAAAGTTTGTTTTTTTGCATTCCTGGTACATAAACAAACCTGAGTCGAGACTGAAGAGTTTGATGCCGTCACCGTGGTATCCCACAGCGGCATAGTCTCCATTAACAGCCACACACAGAGCAGCAGCAGGCTCAGACGGTACACACTTCAGTTTCTTCAGAGGAGGCTCCTGCTCGCACTAAAAGAGAAAATTGTGTGGTATATGTCAGAAAAAAAGACTGTTTTTCAATCATGTCCTACCTGTTCATACACACAGACTATGGCATGAAGTTAACACTTGTACACAAGATATTGAAGGAGCTTACCTCATCACTTTTTAATGCAGTGACTGATCGTCCGAGTCCTCCTGACCAGAGATGGAGCTGTTTTACAGAAGAACAAAAGGACAAAGGAGTGTAGGAGGCTATTTATTTCAAATAAGTGACAATGGTAATAATCTTTTTTTTTTTCTCTTAACAGAAAATTTAAGAGAAATGTAAGGCCCCACCGTGCATATAAAAGGAAAGGGTGCAGGTGCACTTTTTCTGCATTGAACTTCAGTTGGATACTCTTCCCTTAAAAAAATGACTGCAATATGTTTTCCCAAAGCAAATTCAGAAAAAAAGGCAGCATTCTAGTGTCAAAAACCATATTAATCTCCTGATGTCTTCTACATGTTGGTGAATTTTATTTTCAACGAGTGTACTGATGAAACAGCCTCAACTCTTTTTTCTGAATGTGTTTTGGGCAAACAAACCTTGGAGAATATACATTAGTCTTACAAATGTGTAAAATGTTTTAGCTGTGGCAGTTTTTTTTTAATAAGCAACAAATAATGTATTTGTTTTTGGTTGTGTAGTAATTAAGTCAGTAAAGTAGTGGAGTGATTATATTATCACAATCCAGACACTCAAGCCTGCAGAGTTACGATTCATTTCTCTGATACCAAGTTCAGTATGTGCAGGCAGTTATTCCTCACCACGTGATCAGAGCCGGCGCTCAGAAGCATGCTGCCTTCATCCAGGAAGGTGAGGGCCTCTGTGGCTCCGCAGTGAGCCTGGAAACACCCCACACAGGTGGAGGTGGGCACGGACCACACCCTGACGTCTCCACACAGAGACCCGGAGCAGAGCAGGGAGGTGGACGGCGAGAAGGAGAGACTGCGCACTGAGCGCTGGTGACCAGTCAGGGACTGAGGGAACAGACAGAAGAGAAATAGTGGTTGTAAAAAAAAAAACCCATCTTGGTTCAATCTGAACATAGTTAATACTCTTTCTTAATTGTAAAAGAGTACTCGTCGATTTAGCATCACACACACCAACATTGTCAACGAAAAACAGTTTCAAACTGATTCAGCAGGAACAGAGATAGTCCTTTATTCTCACACATTCCTCTTCCTGGCCAAACCATGATGCCCACATTACCCACAATGCAACCTGACCACTGAAAAGGTATAAAACCCAGAAATTGTACACAGCTCCATCTGAAGACACTAAAGGTTTTATACAAACATTTCACATATGCAATTGAGTTCTCCTTTAAAGTGTCAATCTTATAATCTTTAACAATCTTTATTTATCATCTTTTGTAACGGTTTCAAAAATATTACATCTAATTTGAAGTAGTGGGCATTAAATTGACGTGAGCTCCCTTTACGATTATCTTGATAACTCACCATTAGAGTTTTATTCTGGAGCCAGTTCCACACAATCACGTTCCCATTCCAGCAACCAGCAGCCAGCAGGTGACCCTCGGGGTCAAATGTCACACAGTTCAAAGGGCTGGAGCTGGGCAGGGCTGCTACCTCATAGCCTTTAGTAGAGGACCAAACCTGGAAAGTGGAAAAACATTCGGTCAGCATAATATAGATGGATAACGTTGAATGATTAAGTGACATATACAATTAAATAATAGTTGAGATTATTAGCTGCATCAAAGAGTAACTGATTTTGCAAACAACTTTCTTGTGATTTGTTTGAAACTAACTTTCAGCATGAAGTCCAAAGACACAGTTGCAAGGTGCTTCCTGTCTGCAGTGATATCGCTTCCTGTTATCACATTAGTGTGGCCCTCAATAAGAGCAGTCCTGCAAGATGGAGAAACACAAGTTAATTCAACCTGAATCAAATATGTTTAGTACATTTTACTTCCAACTCTCCTCTCACCTGCAGCCATTCGCAACGTCCCAGATCTCTATTCGTCCGTCAAAGGAGGTGGTAGCAAGACGTCCGTCCTTAAGAAAGACACCGCTTGAGATGCCGTCACAGCTGCTCACCAACGTTTTTACTTCCTGTTTACAGCCAGGAGGAGAGCTCATTTTAGAGGCTTTTTAAATCTCAACATGCGTGACAACTGAACAGTATTTCTTCATAGAACATGGCATATTTACAATTAGTGTTTAGGTGCTCTAATCAATTTCCTGCAGGAATCATATTTTTTAAACATCATACATTAAACCTTGAATCGGGGTAGAGAAGTATCACTGTGACAGTAGTGTGCCGGCATAAAAGGAAAGATAAGTAAGGTCGGGTAGACGAGAAATCTGATTACTGAGATGCTGCACATGGATCTTATAGTAACCAGGTTATTAAGTGAAAACGTCAGATTTTCTGTGATTACCTATGTGCATGTAAATGTACTGAATGTGAACTGAAAATGAATAACGTGTAAACCTGTGTCTGCAATTGGTCAGGATTGCTACGCTAAATAGAAACCACGAATCTATAAGGCAACAAAATGTGCAACGAGATGAAGAACACACCGAAGGGAGACAAAACAGTACATTTCATCTGTAGAACTTGCTCGTACCTGTCCGGTCTGAGTGTTGATGAAATGAAGCATTCCCTGTCCAGTGCCAACCACCATGAGCTCTTCATCCACGCTTCCAACCAAACAGGTTGGTACAGAAGAGAAGGTCGACACCAGCTCACTGCGATAAAACACACGAGACCATCAGAGCATTCCTTTACATCAATATTGGAACAGACACACAAAATAAAAAGTTTAAGAGACAAAAAAAACAACTATACAAACTGAAGATGACTACTAAAAAAAAAAATCATTCTCACTGAGTAGCAGTGGATTTCATGGGACACTTCTAATGCACATCTAACCACACAGAAGACCCTCTTACTTAGTTTCCTGGAGAATCCCACTGTCATTGTTTAGCCACTGAACTACCCGTGGCCCTCCTTTTCCCATCAGTCCTTGTGCCCAGATGTGAGCAGAGGTCTCAGGAGGCTCGTTGAGGGCTTGCTGAACGAAAAGAGCCGGCCATGAGGAGAGGAGGGGGCCGTGTCGCCGCAGGAAACTCTGGCAGTCTTCTAGACGAACCTGAAAGCCAGCTGAGAGCACAGAGAGAAACTTGTCTTTAGATAAGAATTAAACACTCTCAGCAGGAACCTGTGCATGTAATGGATTCTTAAGCACTTACATGAGGGTGCAGACTTATTCTTGTTGTCTGTAGAAGAAGCAAAATTTCACAGGACACAAACATTAGGACTTTTTGTTTAGCCATGAGTAAACCTGCACTACCACATTCATCACACACAATATCATCCTGCATGCTCACCATACAAGCTGTAGGTCTCCTTGAGGTGGTGCAGGAGGCCGTGGCGCACGTTAGCATACAGGAAGTAGTAGCTGGAGAGCAGAGAATGAAGCTGCTCTAGCTGGCGACTTTGAATCTGACCAAAGACAAATAAAAGGCAGTTAAAATCTAGCGTAATTATCACGAGAAGCTGGTTCTCTGGAGGATTTTATTGACCAGCGTGTATTTATGTTCTTTACACAAACTAACTGTCCTGAAATTGTGCATTTTGTTTGGCTGGAATATGACGAACCAGGTTGGAAGGCAGGTGCATGACAGAGTTGGCCTCACAGTGAAGGAAGGTATCTGTGCCCTGCGGGTCGGCCAGTGCCCACAGATGAGCTGTGTAAAGAGACAGTGCAGTGATATGATGCTAATTAGAATTTACAGTGACTAATACTTACACTGTATTAAATCAGACTGTGTGTACTTTACCTGCCAGTACGAGGTGAGCTCTGGTTCTGTCACTTTCTGTTGGGAGGAGAAAGTCCTCGAAGGCCCTCCTCACCTCCGGATTGGTTAGAGCCAGCAGGTCGTCAGTGTCGTGGCAATGAGACGGACCAACCAGGCTGCAGATAAGGATCCACAGGTTTAATATCTGTTTTCAACTCACACCTCAGTGTGCTTTATCTAAACAGACATTTCCTCTAATATGGAGGAAATCTGAAAGCACACAATCAGTATAAACCCTTGAAATGTGGATCAAATTTGAATGATTATGTGTATTTAATTGTTATTGCAAATCATAGTACAAGAGAGTAAAGATAAAAAACAGACAGCTAGGTGCAAAAATACTTTGACAAACTGATACAATCACCTCACATCAGAGAGTAATCTTCACAAGCAACCAAAGTTAACTATGAGAGATTGTTGCCACAGATAATGGCAGCATCCGTACTATTTGCAGTCATATGGGTCATACCTTTGTAAACTCTGCGCTATACGGGTGAAAGTTGCCATGGGTATGCGTCCCTTGGGCTTCCTGGACAGATGCAGCACTTCCTGCCACGTGAGCTGTCCGTCCCGAGAGGATAAGTCGTTGCATGTGTTCAGTACAGTGTACACGTCTCTCTCCCTCAGGCCTGTTCATCAAGAGGAAAAAATGTTGAGGCAGCCAAAGAAAGTTAAGTAAATGACCACTTTGGTTGTAATATCCCTTTAAATATTTTAGCACTCGCTGTATTGCACTACCTACCAATTTACCCCATCTCTAGTGTTCTAGATTAAAAATAGCGCAATGAATAACATCATAACTTGACTCATCGTACCAGTGGAGCTGACAGTGAGTGCTGCCAGGGCCCAGCGGAGTCCCAGCATGCCTCTGTACTGCGAGCAGAGTCTGTCCAGGCTGTGATGCACCAACTGGCTCAGAGACTGAGGCAAGCCCTGGAGGCTCTCCTTCAACTAAGACATGGAGACAAAGTACAATAACCACCAAGTTGATAATCATGTGCATGCACTAAGTTGGGTCGGTCCAACCGTTCAAGAATTTTGATGTGTTTGCCCCAGAGGGTTTTCTGTTTTCACAGCCAGTACAGCACATTTATTACTGGAGCCAGTTTTTCTTCTCATCATTGCATCTTATGGGAAGACGTGACAGGCATTGATTTATATTTATTTATGAAGCCCTTAACGGCAATTAGCCGTCGTACATCACATCCTTATTAAATTGGTCCTATAATCATATATTTCAGTTCCCATCAACCGACGCTGTTCTTTGTGTGTTGCACTAGCTAGCTAATGTATCATGCATGCTATAACATCCTACTCTCATTAGGAGCATGTTAGCTCAAGTACAGTCTCACACAGCTGCTAGCGATTTAAGAAGGTTTCATGCAAGCATCCACCCCAATCTTTGCCACAGCCAAGAGTGGAAAAACAACCAGTAATACCAATGTGTAAACCCTTAAAAAAGTGTTTTTAAACCTTATCAAAGGAGGCAAAGTTCCTCAGGTCTTCACAGGCCAGGTGCAGGTAGAGAGGACTCACTGCTCCCTTCTTCATTATCAGCGTCTGGAGCTGGATGAGCAGACACAGCATGGTTTTAAGATCATATAAGCGTTAAAGGATTAAAAGAGTGGGGGCAAACTGTTGAGTATGGCAGCCTTATTCACAGAAGCAGAATTTTGACACTGTGTACACTGTGATGTTTACAGAGCTCATGACATTAGAGGAACCTGGTTGTTGAATGCAGAGTCACTGAGTTTCTTGCCGAAGGAGTCCAGTCCCTTCTGAACTATCTCCTTCCGGTCCGGCATGGTAAGCTGTCCCAGGGCAAATAGGACGGTGCTGCTTTTCTTGGCCAGGGTTTGTAACAGTGCTGCTTTGGTTGTGATGCTCACTACCAAACAAACACCCTGACAAGAAAAAATATATAGAATCTGAGTTTTACTGGAGCAGACAAACCCTTACAAATTCAACCATAGATCATTTCTCATTTGCTCCTTTCTACTGTACCATCTCACTAGAAAATTAATTAATTTTCCGTCATTTTTCTGTCCATGTAACTGACCTGAGGAAGCTGCTGTGGTATCCAATCAGAGCTGAGCTGACCTCTGCCATCTTGGAGAAGATCCACCCCATCAATGAGCAGCACCAGAGGTTTGTTCTTCTTTATGTCACTCAAGTTGGAGTGAAATTCTAACAGGAGATCTCTGTAATTAAAAACAATTAAAGGAAAGGGAACAGCTGTTGGTGCATAGACAACATGATGCACCTGCAAGTTATATCAAAGGACAATTCAAAATCTAGTTACTTGTAAGAATGGGGAAGAGGCGATTCCTCCTTCGTATCTTTCATCTTTCTCAACCACCGAACGAGGAATCGCAGCAGGTTTTCCACAGAGCGTGCTGATTGGCTGGCAGCTGTAGAGTAGGAGATGACATCGCAGACGAGGTTTTTCCTAGACTTAACTCCAGTTCTGAGGCTGTCTGCTAGAGCAGCCTGAGTGGAGATAGAGAGAGAGAGATAAACATGGGTGGCAATGTTTCCAATGTAGAGGATTTACAACCTAAATACATCCTACCGTTAAGGCAGGTTTGAGTTTAAAATGTTTTTTTTTTATTCTGTCCAAACTCCGATACAGATCTGACTACTTGCGATCAACAGGTTAGAATTCCTGACTGAAGAATAGAGTAGAGTACAATTCCTTAAAAAACATTTACCATGAAGACAGTTTTTCCCTCTCCAGCTCCGCCCTCCACCACCATCAACCCTCCTTTGCTCTGGGCCTGCTCCACTATCTCGACAGCCCCAGACAGCAGCTTCGCCCTGCCAAAGAACTGCCTCTGCAGCGCCTCCTGGTGGACCTCCTGCTCAATCACATCGGACAAAGCCTCGGCCTCGTCGTGCTCCTGCGACATGGAGAATAATAATAATGAGGCGTTTAACTACAATTTACTGGATGTTACATTTTGTCCAAGATATCTCTGTAGTCTGAAATGATACCAATCAATAATACAAGGCTCAATATTGCTCAAAACAGTTGCAACTGAACAGAAAATACCTTCTGACTAAATGTGGATCTTTAGTAGTTTCACACAGCAATCTAAAGTAACTGAGCACATTTACTCAAATAAAGTGGCAATACCATGTTTTGTTATCTAAATGATGCTTCACAACACAACATCTGAAACAAGTTTGGTTAACGAAGAGTTTGGCAATGAAATTGATTGACTAGTCGGAGTGACTGACTTCCACAAACAGCTTTACTACAGCCAGCCACAGGTCTTCCAGCACGGCCTTGCCAAAGTCCTCCAGGTGTTTCAGATACGGTTTCCCCTCCTCAACGCCGCCCCACTCACACGAGTAACTGTGACAGAAAAACAGACGAGTTGGCTCAGCTGAAGCACTCCAAGATTATATTTTAGTGGATTCATTTCAAAACAAGTTGTACTTCAACACCAGTTGATACGGAAAAAAACACAAATAAACAAATACTGCTTAAATGAGAAATATTCTAAAGGCATCGTGAACTATTGTTCAGTGCATGGGACGTGACAGAGATGACTCACTTTTCAGTGACTTTGACTTCACTGGCCCGGATCCTTGTCTTCAGAGATGCCATTTTAGACTCCGCCTCCTTTGACTCAGGGACAAAATCAGATCTCCAAGCCACCGGAACTGATCTGAGAAACAACGGAGGAAAATTTAATTAAAACATAAAATACTTAAGGTGATTTTCAGAAATCTGTAAAGTATTACATCACTGAAAACAACTTAATAGAAACACAAATATTTTACAAAACATCTACATCCCACGACTCATTTAACCCTTTCTCTTTATACATTTAAAGTTTGGACCAGTTGTGCTGTGTGAATGTCAGCATGGATTACTTGGTGATGTTTGGATCTCTGAAGTAGCAGAACATTCGCTGTTGTGCTGTGTCGGGGTAAAGAGCCTGGAACTGACGGATCTCCATCTCTGTGATGGAGAGGCCTTCTGGGGCCGACGCCAGCTGCACACAGACACAAATTATAATTTATTTCACTATTTCAATGAATGTCTTAAATGTAAATTCACATCTGAAAACAGACATCATTCTCTATCAGTAACAATAACGTGATGGTTAGTAGTCGCTGACATTTCTACCTTTAAATAATCCTTTTCAGTATTAATTCTTTAATTTGATGTCATAATAACACGTCTTACCCAGCTGTTCTGCGGCAGGTCAGGGAGGACCGGTCTGGGAGGCACCAGGCCGTACCTCTCCCCCAGGATTCCCACCAGCATCTGGCTGCGACACACCTCTGACAGGCACAGCTCGGTGGCCCGCCCCGACTCCTCCTCTGTCACGCCCCAACGCAGCTCCACCTCCTGCAGGTAGAGGCAGTGTGAGGCGGCGCGACGCCGGAGCTCCGGGAACACGCTGCGCACCAAGACGTCGCGCTCAGCGTGCATGTCTCTGAAGGTGGAGGAGATGAAGACACGTACACCTCGCCACCTGACGACAGAGGAAGTCTTCAATGTGAAGCAGCAAACAATTCAAGCTTGCTTCTTTGCCACAAAATAATAATTACCTTAACTTGGGGCTGGCTGGTATCGGGACAACACTATTTGTGGTCTGAGGGCCTTTAGCGCCCTCTGGAGGTGGGACATTGTACACTTTGTCTAAATGCTCCACGTGGTCCAGCATTCTGGATGATCCTCGTTCTGCCACAAACCTGGTCACAAAGTTAAAGAAACAGTTAAATACTACAGAAAATATGCTTATTCTCTTTCTCGTCTCGAGTTAGAAGTTAGATGTCTGTCAGATAAATATGAAGCTACAGCCAGCAGACGGGTGGCTTAGCTTAGCATAAAGACTGGCAACGGCAAAAAGCTAGCCTGGCTCTGTCTTAAGGTAACAAAATCCACCTACCAGAACATCTGAAGCTCAATAATTAACATGTTATCTAGTCTTTTTAATCTCTACAATAGTTGGAGTGTAAAAAGGACAATTTGGCGTTTTACTTGGGGGTTTATTTGCCAGACTGTGTATTGGCAAACACCACTGACTACCTGGTCATTTTCACATTTCAGTTGTTGTAGAGATTAAACAAACAAGATAACGAGTTAATTAGTGAGCTTTAGAGGCGCTAAGCCAGTCTCACTGTTTCCAGTCTAAGCTAACTTAACGAACAGGTATGAGAATGATTTTGGCAAGAAAGTTCCGACCATTCTAATTTGCTTTTAGGAACCAGTGGGCTTTACATTTTTCACATGTATAAAAATCATCCAAATATGTTTTTTTGTATTAAAATGAGCAACCCAGACATTTTACCTCAGCATTTGTTCACTGAAGCCAGACAGCGTCACACAGTTCCTGTCAGCGACGAACTCTGACTCTCTGCAAGAAGACAAAACAACAATAAAGACGGGAAACAGAAACCAGCTAAATTTTGTTTGTTGCTATGATTGTCTACATTATTGTGCATTTTTGCAAACAAGCAAATATAAATCTTTGCTGAAAGAACATTGATAGAAAACAAAGTTGGTACATTTTAAAAGTCCACCAGTGATTGGTGAGTGCAACTTTAGATTCTCAATACTGTCTGTGAGATATACTGTAGGAGCAGCAGCTGAAGAAGGAAATTGGAGCATTACTGTTCTGCCAATAAGATTTTCACCACAAGGGCATTGTTATTTATGTCCCTCCTGTAGGTGTCGATGTTCCACTCGATTTCGTGACAGATCCATCGGTCAGACAGCACGATGATGTTGTCAACCTGAGATACAAAACCATATGAGCCCAAGGATCACAAGGAAGCCTCTTGTACTGTCGTCTAAAGCGGCGGCATTTTACTTTTAATCAACAAAGTGTTTAATTGATGTTAAGTACCTGAAACTCAGGTACTGGCTCAGCGAATATTAAATTGAAGAGCCACAGTGTTAGCAATTTCGGACCAGTATTTTGGACATCAAAACTCCAAATCAAGCCACCTTGGAGCAGAATTTTAAAGGCAAGGAAAGTCTGGCCCCCCGCAGCCCAAGTGTGTCTTATTGTTATAGCTCATGTTTGTGCTGGTTACATTCTATCAATATTTTATTAGGCATATAAGCAGAGGGTAGGGAAAGGATACCCAAGTCATGTCTGTGGTGCTACCATTTGTAGATTTCGTTAAAACATTACTGAAATCACTTAAATATATTATAAATATATCTTATTGTGATACAAGTGTTAAATGTAAATCCTAAAAACACAGAACGAGACAGAGACCATAGATACAACTAAAATAAACATGTATTGCCTGCAGGTGGCATAAATAACAGGACATATGTAAACGTCTAAAGCTGTGATTTATTTTCCTAATAGCGTCCTGCAAGCCAGTTCCATCAGGTTCCATCCGGTGCTGCATATCTATTAAAGTTTAACACCACTAATACCGCTGAGCTAACTGTGAAACCATCTAAAAGATATGAGTTGCCCCCTTTAAGGCAATATTTATTGTGTAAGCACTTATCATGCAAAATAAAGACATAATAATCTAAAATAAGAATAAACTAACCTTGTTTTTCTTGGTGAACATTTTGGACAAGCAACATTCGTCCCTCTCTTCATACGACAGCTCTGAACATGCCTGAGAAAGAGAAGTATTCATTCACTAAAGGCAACATCCAATGAACAGAAACACAGCTTCTCTGTGTATTTCAATTGTGTCCATCCTTATTAGTTACTATCTTTATACTATTATGAAGTAGCTCAAATGAATGCTGGTAGTGATTTTAAAAGTGAAATTAGATGAAACACAAACAAGATGCCACAGAGAAAAAGAGCCCTGACCTTCATTTGCTTCATCACACTTCTGACATTATCCAAAAGAACATCGGACTTCAGCTCGACTTCTTGACTGTGACGCCAATCTTGTAAGCAGAGCTGAAAGTCCTCGGCACTGCTGCCAATCATCAGCGAGAGCAAAACCGCAATCTCCTTAATCTGAGAGAATGCACAAGTGGGGGAGAGATTATAGTAATTAGAAATAATCAAGTAAAAACTGCACAGTTGAAACAACAGTTATGAGGTTTGAAACTGAGTCAAATGATCCTTAAATCAGTCTTTCTTTGTGTTATTCTCAAATCAGAAGTAAACAGGCCCTCACAGAAGGAGTGAGCTGGTCCTCTGTCTTGCTCTTCCTCCTTCTCTTCCCTCTCGGTTTCTTCTCCTCCTCCTCCTCCTCCTCCTCCTCCTCCTCCTGCTCCTGCTCCTCGTCCTGCTCCTCCTGCTCTTCCTCCTCATCCTCCTCATCCTTCTCTTCCTCCTCATCCTCCTCATCCTCCTCATCCTCCTTCTCCTTCTCTTCATCCTCATCCTCCTCCTGTTCCTCCTCATCGTCCTCATCCTTTTTTTGCTCGGGGTCTGGTGGGAGGCAGAAGTCCAGTTTACGACACCACTCGTCATCTTCGCTCATGCCAGTGGAGAGCACGATGACGGTCCGTCCGGGGAGCGGAGGCACGTTGTAACGACAGGAGAGCTGGACCGCCGTCTCCAGAGCTTTGCGATAACGGTCCAAGAGAGCGACGGTGAACTCTCTCTGACTGGATGCACAGACACACACAGATACAGTTGCATAGTATAATTTCTTTTTAATCCATGCAAATATTGTCTTTGTTGTCTTTTTAAGAAAGAAAGAAATTGCTGAAACTCAAAGTACACTCCCATACTTGGCTTTTAGGAGCTGGGCCTTCTTGGCTTGGTAGAGTCGATAGATGAACGGCACTCCGAGTGTCACCCTGATCCGGCTCCTCGGAGTCGTCTCCCATTCCAGACTTTTGAAGCGTTTGCTCTTGGGAATCTTACTCAGGATGCCCGCCAGGATCTCTTTAACAGGGGGGAGTGCTTGCTCTGATGCTGTGGCTAGAGGATAGAGAGGCAAAGGGGAGGTGCTGCATCTGTTCATTGTTGCAGTATGTCAGAGGTACACTTTATAGGCTGGTTAGGCTGATATGTTAGTTTGTCATCATTTCATCACACTAAATGAGTGGAATGTGATACCATGTCTTGAAGGATGAGCTACCTAAAAGAGGAGTTCCTTTAGTGCCACACTTGTTGTATATGTATCTCACCCAAAGTGTTGAGCTCCATGATGACTTTGTAGGCAGCGAGGAATCTGGTGGGAAACTGACGGCTCTGAATAACCGCTTTCTGTAAACACATCAAGAACACAGAGTTTACCGAAAAGGAATGATTAAACTGAGAGTTTAATTACAAAAGAAACATAACAACCAATTGACGAACATGAATACGACTCTTCCTCTGGTACACAAACAACAGTATACTGTATTATAGTCTTTACACTAAGGATTCAGTGGATGTTATACTGTATTAGATCTCACCTTGTTGGTCAGTCTGCTGAGGATCTTCTCGTGATGAGCCTCACTGATGCCCTTAGTGATCATGTTCCTCAGGTTCCTCAGCATGGCCATGAATGGAAGAGACTTATTGTCTGCACAGGAGAGAAAGTATTCATCAGTATGTGTGATCGTGGACATGTTTTAGTATTTACAGGCGTGTTAGATGCATACAGTTTGTGTTTTTATGTTGGAAAATATGTATTCATTGCTTTTTTTTGATTCCATATATACCAGTGAGCTTTGGACTCGAAAAATGCTAGATTGAATCTCTGGACCAGATTGGAAAGTTAAGTCAAACAGTACTTAAAATGAAAGAGTTGTGTGATGATTGACTGGTAATACTGGTGGCTTTTATTATTTTAAACAATTGTGAGGAAGTTGTGAACAAGAAAAAAAAAAAGTGTTCTAATTGCCCTGGACTAAAGGAGCAACTCAACATTTTGGAAACAGTTGTCTGTCAGTGGGAACTTCAGCAGACCTATGAGCTTCTCCCAGGCGGCGGCCTTGTTGCCCTCCAGGCTGAGCAGCCGTTCCCACGTCTCCGGCTGTTTGAGCTTCATTCGCATCCCGGCTCTCTCCCTGTCCCAGGTGCCCTTTATTCCACTGTGGGTGAATGTCTTCAGGTCAGCAGGATAGCTGCAGGACACAACCACATCGCATTATAAAATGGAAGCGAGACAAGCCCAGAGATACACCAGTGGAAAAGTCATCACGACAGACCTGAGACTGAACCTTTGTCTTCTTATTCTCCCCTCCTCCGTCTACTTTTCTATCATCATATCGTCTAAACAATAAATATATAAAATGCTATTTTTTTTTTCCCTAAAAAAAAAAAAGAGCTTTCCGTAGAACTGAATTAAAGAGATAAGAGTTCCTTCTGTGTCATCGATAAGTGGATATTAACAGATAATTATAGGAGATCTTAAAATGTTTAAGAAACTGCACAACACTTTAAGTGTCCTAATATCTGCTTTTAACTACTTCATTATGTGTTCTAAATGTTGAATTATTATCATACAGTGGGTTTTATGTTACATCTTATTTTCCCAGTTTTCATGTTCATTCAATGTCTATTTTCCCTTAGTATAAAGCACTTTGTTCTGCATTTCTTGTATGAAAGGTGTTATATAAACAAAGTTCATTATTGTACACTATTTAATACAGGATCATATACTGCTTATAGATGATAAATGTGGAGAGTGGGGTTAAAGTAAACTGGAAAACGAGGAGTTGGCAAATGATGTGCTGTAGATCAGTGTGTGAATGTGTGTGTTGCTTACTTTTTCCCCAGAATGGCCATAACATGTTCAGCCGGTTCTTTAATGTGAAACTTCTTGATCATCTTCTTTATACTGAACTCGCTCTGCTTTTTATCCACCGCCTCTTTTCTGCCGTCTTCATGCAACTGCACGCGCACACAGACACACACACACACACACACACATAAACCAGTGTTACCCACGTTCTGATGTTTAGTTTGACAATCTGCACTAGAGCCGTATCCGCACACACAGCGGAGGTTGATGTGAACAAAAACCCCTTAGCTAAACTCCAAACATTAAATTAAATAACAGTAAATGTAGAAACATCCAAAGTCCTTATTAAGTGGCACAATAGAAAAGTACTGTACATTGACTTACAAACTTCATCAGAATAGTTTCATCTGATCGGAGCAAGTTCGCCCACTTTTTCAGCTGCTCGCCAGTCGGTCTCTGGAAATCAAAGATAGTGCAAGTAGAGCCAACCAGGAGTGATGAATAGAGGATATTTGAGACACTGTCTCAATTGAGAGGAATTAGTCAATATTACCTAAATAGAAACCACATAAAGTTTTCATCTTTTTTCAGTCGAGGTGGTTAAAAGTGTGTGGGTGTCAACCTTAGTTTTTCACCACAGGCAAAGCTAAGAAACACTATTACTGACAAACAGTTTTCTGCCTTTTATTAGCAGGGGTTTCATACTAGTATTATTAGGTTTAACACTAAACTATATCAAACAATAGAGACCAAAATGAATGCTTCTGTACCTTGGGTTTGAGCTTGTTGCGGTTGTGTTTACAGCGGTGCTTGCGAGTGTTGTATTTGGCCAGCTGATACTCATCGAACTGCTTGAACTTGTCAGCCATTGCCTTCTTCAAGCACATCGGCAGGGAGTGACTGAAGCACTGGAAACCAACAAACACAGGGTTAAGACTGGACAGAACTGACAGAACTGACACATCCAGATTCACTCACTAAGACTTACTGTACTATAGATTCTGACTACTTCCAGCCAATCCGAGGGCAGCTGTACGGCAGCGCAGAAGTATCTGCGGACGTGTGGCTTGGTGGCGGGCTGGTTGGCAGCCAGGGCCAATAAGAAGTTTGCTGTGATGCGGATGTTCAGCTCCTGTCGAGTGTAAACTGCCACCTGAATGGTAAAAGAAAGAACGAGCACACTGTACATGACTGATGAAATAATCATAACCCTTTACTGTCATAATGTGTACCGTCTGTCTGAAAATGAACTCTACCAAAATCATTGCAGGGTGAATAAGTAAGGAAAAAAGGCACTTGAAATGTGATATTGGCCATGAAATGTATTCACCAATGTTGACCTAATTTTTTAAAGGAAATTGTTTGACAGACATTGGTAAAAGTAGATCCTTTACATGAAACAAGACGACGAACAAGTGACTGTTTCATTATGAAATAACTGGAAATTAAAATGCATATTGAGTACTATTTGTTCTTTGTTATGTTGTATTTGTCATACTGTCACTTTGTTCTTTCCCAATTTCAAAATCCAATAAAAAAATCAAAGTATAATTTGTTTTCTAGTTTGTGGGATTTATCTAATTTTGTACAGTGTTGTCATATTCTGCTGTATACATCCATTTACACATATCTATGAATTCTTGCTACAATGCATTTCTTGTCAGTGTTTTTCAGCATGACGATGTCTCGGTGCGGTTGAAACATTACCACATAGTTCAAAATAAAAGTTCAGGAGCGAGTTTGGCACAGAAATAAAAATGTCTCCGGATACATACCACCTGCACACACAGACGTGCAAACACACCTTGAGTAGAAACTGTGGGTCACAGGCAGAAATGTCCTTCGCCAGGTCTATGATCTTGGTCCAAACACTTTTCTCTGAGTCCCAGTCCTTCTGGCCTGGAGCTATGCTCTTATTGACCAGGGAGCAACACACCACGTTCAGCAGGAGATACTGAGGAGCAAACAGAAAGACAATGAGGTATGTGTCACTTTAATCAACACAGGCATATCATTTGGTGGCACTGGTGCAGAGAAATGCTAAACTGAGTATTTCTCTGACATAAATATGCAGTGTGAAATATCTCCTACCTTTTTATCTTTCAGCTCCTCCTCAACATTTTCATTTGCTCTGTCAATCTCAGCAAATTCCTCTTGTTTGGTGACCATAGTTTGTTCGAGTTCGTTGTTGCCCAACTCTGTTTCCTGGGCAGGTAATTCCATGGCTATCCCAGCATCATCATCCTCTTCTTCTTCGTCTTCTTCTGGCAAAGTATCATCTTCCCCAGAATACTGCTGATGCAGGAGAAGTTACATTAAAGCAGTAATACAGCCAATGGGATGCTTCAACACATTGTGTCAAATAGTTTATATAAGAATGGGTCATTTTATTTTCTGTTTGTGCAAAAACAAATTGACAAAAGAGTAAAAATAATGAAAAAATGATTTCATGTACCTCAATTGTTTCTTCAAAACTGGACTGCATCACTTCAGATGTTTCATTGCTGCCTTCATCTCCTCCACCCAGAGCACGGTGGAGGAATGAAGGCAGTTGAGCAAAGCGATTGAGCAGAGCACTGCTGGGCAGGGACGCAAAGAGCAGAGCGTCATTTGGGACGGATGTAGAGGAGGTGAGGGAAAAAGAGAGACCAGGTGAATGGTCAGTTAGGAGCTTGTTCTCCGTGCTGAGGAGAGGAGAGGTGAGAGATGTGGAGAGAAGGGAGGACGAAGTGGACGACAGGCTGGAGGGCTGGAGAGAGGGGCAAGAGGAAGGTTGTGCTGAAAAGCTTAAGAGTGAAGAGCAGGGCTGGGGCATCAATGTGGAGGCCTGAGCCAACAACTTATTTTCCAGACACAGAGGAACATAGTTGGCAGACAAACTTCTCCCACACGTGACCTGCTGCTGCTCTCCTTGGGCCACATTAGTCCGCTGCAGAGACAACGCCCTCATCTCTGCAGAGAAACACATGAATCAGACTGTCAACGGCTTTCTCAAACACAAACCCTTACAAACCTGCGTGGTATTAAGCATTGAGACAAGCAACTCCGCAGCATTCCTTCAAATGTTTAACCAAGCATTGTCCTACTGTGTACTGTGGTTAAGGGTGTGTGCTGCTCAGTTGAAAGCATCCATAAAAAAGGGACAAAGTCTGGAAATAATCAGCATAAGGACCGACAGGCTTTCACAGTTTCACCAGACATGTTAAATACAAAACTTAGTCAAATTCGATCAAAATAAGGAATCAATAGCTTTCTGTAGGCTAAAAAATAAAAGAACATATTCTGTCTAAACTGACAAAAATTGTTTAATTAAATAGGAATAAGTTTCAAGTTGGCCAAGAGCTTGATTTGTGGTGTAATGTAAGCCCTTTCATCAAGTTAGTTAAGTAGCATTTTATATTTATTTATTAAAATGTCAACTTTAAACAACTAAACTGTGTGCAGCATTAACGGTCAGAAAGAAAACACTCTACCACATTATCAAAACAGCCACCGGACCTAACCGTGACAAATGAAGAGAAGTGAGACATTCGTCAACATTAGTCAAGATCTTTAATAGTTGTCTTCTACGTTGCAATGACTCGAGAGTTTTCCTAGAGGTGGTGGGGGAAGTGAACGCCCAGACTAGTCGCAGGAAACTTACCGGAAATAAATACAGTTTAAACTCCACGTGCCCGAGAGTTGACTCATAAACAAAAGTGTCGTCTTGTGTATAAGGTTACCGTCCGAAGTACTGAAGCGTTAGCATCTATTTCTGAAGCATTTCACAGCAATGTGTAGCTCCTGATTTACAGTAAATGTCCTCATCCGAGCAGCTGCCTGTCTACGTGGTTGTCTTCAGAGCGCTGATTGGTCAGAATTTTGTGTACTTTTTTACCGTAACTGCACGTGTACGGGTGCCTACCCTGAAATCATCGAATAAAGGCAAAATTACATTTGGAAGAAGAAAAAAACGGTAGTTATAATAGAAACACAACAATTTCAACACAAACATGTAAATATATATATATATTTTTTAATGTTTGGATTACAAACTGCTCGGGTGACATGGTGACGCTACCGTAACTGTGTGTGTGCGGCTCAAAAGGAGGAAGCGAAAACGCTCTATTTCCGCTGCAGCAGCGACCAACGGGCACGTCAAAAAAAAAGAGAAAGAAAGGAAAATGAGGATCGTAAGGACACACTGAGACGAGAGACGGACCGTCGAATGACATATATCGTGTTCGCTGAGCTCGGTTACCAGACAGTTGTCGTTATTTAAAAGTTCCCAGACGAATATTTGACAGTTTAAGGGTCGTTTCGAGGTTAACTCGACCCCCCTCCTCCTCTCTTGTTCTGTGGTGGTTCGCTTTGAGGAAGCAGCTCGCCTAGCCCAGCTGAATTAGCACAGTTAGCTGGTTTAGAGAGATGGGGACGAGAGCAAGTCGTCTGCAGGAAGAGCCGGTGCCCTCCGCTTTCGGAAAAGATGGCACAAAGCGGGACTCGTTCCGGCGACCCCGCTGCACCAGGCCCACCAGTCTCATGGTCGACTTCTCGGGCAGCTTCGAGGACACGGAGGCCAACCGGAGCCGATCGGAGGAAGGCAGCGACTCGGACCTGGGGCAGCATGCGGCGAGCGCCGACGGCAGCCCCGCGGACCTTCACAGCATCCCCTCCAGCATCGGCCAAGCGTCACCTGTGGATGATGACAACAACAGCAGCGAGGGGAAACCCGAGGAAGACGGGACTCTAAGCCCGGAGCCTGCCGCGGTAGCGGATCATCCGTCCGGAGAGGAGACAGGAGGCCGCACGCCCCACCGCACTTTTTCCGAGCGGCTGCCCGGGAATCGGCACTCTTCCGCCCGCAGCGTGGGCGCAAGATCCGCCCGGGTCCGAGGCACACACCAGCGGCCGGTGTCAGAGGCTTGGATCGGCCTTTACCGTGTCAACAACCGCCATGGCAGTAAGTCAACACATGTACACGGTGCAGTAGTATTTTACATACGTGCAATTTGTATTTATTGTGCTGCATAAATAACATGTTTCCATCAGTAGTTGATGTTTTGTATTTTACCCTGATTTTGGATTTCAAGACAGCTCACATGCATGGATTACACTGAATTCTTGGATGGTGTCAGAGTTTGGCAATATCAGCTTACATCACTTTAAATTACTCAATATGTAACGAAATGTGGGTTGTTTGCTTCCAGAAGACAACTGATATTTAACTACGACATGAGGTGTATTGTGTTCAGAGAAAGATAGTAGTAATATGAATATGATGGTTAAGTAAGAGGTAACTTGGAGTATTCATTGTCAACTTTACGTAGAGACAAAATGAGAGGACGTTAAACACATCACTCCAGAACAGACTTTGAATGTGACTGTTTAAATATTACACAAACGCAGCAAAACTATGACATTTCCATCAAAAATATCTCCCACAGTGCAGCCCTCACTCGTCCCAGTCTGAAATTAAAATGGATTTACATTCCTGAACAGATAATCTATTTTCCCGTGCTTGCATACTGACGAGAACCATCAGAGACCCTATTGTTTGAAGCAGAGCTGTGGCGTAAAACTGGAAGTGGTGACATACAAGCACTTTGACATCACAGGGCCTGTTCACAGTGACCATCGGTGGCAAAATCCTGCAGCGTGCAAGTTGAAAACATTAAGTAACCCACCGCCTTGTTGTTTTTAAGTGCATTAAAACGGGAACTTGGGTTTTGCAGGAGGAAGTGAAAAGGCACACTTGGTCTGCAGTAGACAATGGGCGACACAGAGAAGGTGGCGAACGTGTCATTATGAGCCAAAACACAACCGTGTGGTGGGTTTCCCAGGCCAGCCCTCTAGCAAGAGTAGGGAAATGGGTCACAACTTCACATGCCCGCTCACTGTTGGCAGCAGCTCATAGATGGAGGAGGGGAATGTAGGGCAGCAAGGCTCAGTGTCTGCCCCATCCACTCACGGCTCTAGTGGCGGCCATTCCTCCAGCCCCTGTCTCTGCAGAGCGTAGTGCATACAGTCAAATAAAGTTTACAAACTATTTTGGGTCACTTACGCACACGGTCACGTCATTCGCACTATCTCCGGGATAACAACAACTGATTGTGTTTCAGCCTGCTCTCCTTCGCTTTGCCAAGTCAGCCTGTGTAATCCAGAAGTCCAAACATAGCGCTTTGTGCGCTATGTGATGGGCACATCATCTAACATTTATGTGTCGCTGCGACACAGCGTGTTAATCTCGGTGCTTTTGTCTCTCAGATATCCGCTGTCCTTTCTGCTCGAAGCCCTTCCCGGGGGGTCGGATCGAGGATCACCTGTTGAGCTGCCTCACATCTCCTCCACTACCGTACAATAGTAAGTGTCCTATCACAGAAATGGCCCGGTGCCTGTGTGTGTGTGTGTGTGTGCGTGTTTTGTTTTGTTTTTTTTAAAGGCTGGAAAAAAACTTGTGTGTGTGTGTGTGTGTGTGTGTGTACAGCGGATGTGCTCAGTAAAGACAGCGGAGAGTGCTCCATCTGTCTGGAGGATCTGGTACAGGGAGAGACCATCGCCAGGCTGGCTTGCCTCTGCGTCTACCATAAGAGGTAAAAAATAGATCAGTTGGTGTATTTGCATTCAGATAAAATGCAGACGTGTACTAATGTAAAGAGGAGAGTGTTGCATGCAAATTAGTAAAGGTGCAACCAATCGTGTCATGGTTTTGACTCGCAGATCGGTTCAGCAGAAAAAAAAACAACAAATGTGTGGATCTATATCTATCTATCTATCTATCTATCTGATTGTTAGAGACCCATTGTCCTTTCATACAATACGTCATCAACCGAAGCTGAGTTAAGAATCATTATTATTGAACATGAGATAAAGATAAGCAATTAGTGTGCGTCTGTCCTCTTAACTGTTACATTATGTGAATATTTGAGCAATGGAGCTTTCACAACTGACGATGACTGCATCATTATTACATTTTAATGAGACGCTCTCTCAGATTTACGCTAAGAGTTCTGTAAGCGCTTTGAAACTCCTCGTTAAAAGAAGTGACCATGAAGTTGTTTAAGAGCCACCAGTGTTGCATGTTTCAGCTCGTTTACTGCTGCAGTGATTTGCCTTTTCAAAGCATGTAATGTTCAACACTTTTGGTTTTTTCCCAACTTTCGAGGAGTCATTGGTTTCCCCATAATTTCAGCACAGAAGGAGATCCGTCTTGTTGAGGCTTGAACATTTCCAAAGATTAGGTGTTCCGTCGTAGGGAAGGTCCCGCCTGCTATTTTGTTTCCCAATGTTGTGTTAAAGCACTCAAATGCTGAACCGTGATGGATAACTAGCAGAGAGAAGAAACCAAACATTGATCTCAGATAAAACGCACGCGTGACCATCTTTTTGTTTTGGTCATAGATTATATAAACTGTTTTGTGCCACAGTTTGTAGGTGTGGCTGTTTGGCTGTGTAATCAAATTCTGGTCCAGCCAGTAGAGCAACTGAGATTTGGAAGAAGAAGAAAAAAAAATTTAATTTTAGAATGTTCACACCCTTTACACAAGGAAAGTTATTTCTAATGAAAATCATGTTATTGCAAGGAGCAACCCTACACTTATTTGACTACTTTCACGATAAATTTATTAATCATTTGGTCTATAAAATGGCAGAAAAGGTGGAAAAATGGCTTCAAAATCTCAGAAAGATTGAGGTAATATCTACAAATTGCTTGTTTTGTTCGACCAACAGTTTAAAACCCAAAGCTACTCCTTTTAATGATCACACAAGGGAGAGACAATGGAGAAAATTGTCACGATTTTAGAAGCTACAACTATAAATATTTGGAGTTTTTCCTTGAAAATGTATTTAAACGTTTAATGGGAAATCAAAATAGTTGAAGATTAAGTTATCTGTCCATTGACTCTTTTGTTCCAGCTTTATATTAGTGAGTTCACTACACTTCTTGCAGCTTCTCTCTGGTCTCGTTGCATTTAACTGACCAGAGAGTCCTTGAACTCATTCAGAGCTCCACACACCGTCAGTCAGAGGATTGAGCCTTGTGGGAGACGCCGTAGAGGCTCGGACACATTTAACATGAGCTAATCAATATGTAATGTTTTGCGTCCCCACCCAGTCTTTCCTGTTCTTTCTCCCTGTAGCTGCATTGATTCCTGGTCCAAGGTGAAACCCTGCTGCCCTGAACATCCCTTCGATTGACTCGTGGGTCACATGTATTCTGCACAGTGACCAACCCGACTCAGGTATGGAAGACCCATTTTAGTTTCATGTAACAAAAGAAGCTTCTTAAATGTAAAATGTCTGAACACAAGAACCTGAATAAGCACAAACATCCACACATTTTGTGCCAGTTTTCGTATATTATATGTTATGTTTTATGTGCTGCATAACAGTAGAACAGACATTCGTTTAACTATTTTGCATGCATTTTCCACATCATATGATGCATTTTACTGAAAAATATTACGAATGTGACATTGAGTTCAGCGTAGCCCTGTTGCAGACTCTAATTTAATACAATCATTACAGTATGCATGACTTTGTCTAATGTCCGCTCTGTCCTTTTCCGCCCTTACAGGAGACTACACTGAATCCCAATAAGGTCCCAATTAAAAATGTGTAACTGTGACAAATAAAAGCCTGCTGTCCCTCTCAGACACAAACCTATATTTTTGAGCGGGCAACACGCGATCCTAAGAAGCAGCTCCAGTTAGCGACGCCCGACGCTCCCCCGTTTGGATCAGTCCATTTTGAACCTGGTCTAGACCATTTCAAGCCAAACAACAATAAAATCTCTGGTGGAGACTCTTGTTAGAACACAAGTGGAGACGGTTTTCTATGTTTCGAAATCTGCGGAACATATAAAAATATATATATATATATATATATATATATATATATCTCTATCTCATTTTTTCATATAGCATTTTCATCCCAGAACGATGGAACTTGGAGATAAACTCAAAAAACAAAAAGTTAACTGTGACTCTGCATCCTCTCCTGTGTAGTGTAACGGGATTGGTCATTTTTAAAGTATTTTGCAGAAAGAGTATTGTTCCGTGTCATGCATTGGATGAATGTTTTCTTTCCTCGGCGAACCCCAAAATGAACCAACCTCGTACCGAAAGCATGAACTGTAACCACATTGCTTTATTTTGAACCAGCTGGAGGTTGAGGGCTTGTTTTTGGTGAATGGGGGCTGCCGTTGCTCAGTGTTTTATTTTTTCTATTACATGTAAACATTTCAGGGGAAGTTTGGGGGCTAATTATTTTTTTTTTGTTTTGAGTGGGTCAGTTTTTCTGGTAGGTGGTTAGTTGGCGCTGAGTTTAATGTGCTGCTACTTGCTGAGTGTTTAGGGCGGTTGTAGGTATTTTATAGGGTCATAGTAGCGATGGTGTTGGCACCAGTTTGAGCACTTTTGTCCTTCAAGGCTGATTTTGTTTTATTTTTTCACTGTGTGTGTGTGTGTGTGTGTGTGTGTGTGTGTGTGTGTGGAAATGACCAGGGACAGCTATTGTCCTAAGTGTGACTATGTGTGTGTTTACTGTAGATTGCCCTGACGTCTGCTTGGTCAAGCGGGTTACCCTTTTTTAATTTTGAATGCTAGTTTTTAAGTACAGTTACGCTGGCACACATCCTGCTACACGTGGCATTGGTACGCAACGGTCCCGATTGAATGGTACTTTGAATGCAGGTTTTTTTGGGGGAGTTTTTTTTTTTTTTTTTCCCACGTCTCCCCGTCTCCCTCATCCTCAAGCACTCTCTCGGGGTGCAGTAGAGATTTTTGGGCCAGATCCCCAGGGAGAGTTTTTGCCATCTGGTTTGATTAATGCCAGATTGAGGAGGGATAAAGGGACGGGCGGGTTGAGGGATATATTTTTGGGGCATGTTTACACCATGTGGCATCTGCCTCTCTCCCCGACACTGGAGGCAATGGACAGCTGATGTTTTAATTAGTACATAACCAGCCCCCACCGCTTTCCCCCTTTTTAAAGATGTTATATCATCACATAAAGATCATAGCTAAATGTGTTCAATGGCTTTCCCTTTGCCTTTTGTGTGTGTTGATTGCCTTTGCCTGGTGAAGGGGTTCTTGTCCGAGCAGGTATCTGTAGTGTTTTTAGGGCTGAAATGAGGCCCAGCAGTACAGTTGCTCAACAGACGCTCTCTGATGCCGCTTGTTCACAGAGGGGGAAAGGGCAAAAACATGAATTGATTGCTTTTGCCGTCTGTTCCGTGTGTTTTAAATCTATGCGCTCACAAGTGGTATGGATCAGTTTAGGGGTCAGTCCGGTGCACAGGTTTCCTACTGGCTAATTTGTTCACCCCAGCCTCTCTCTCTCTCTCTCTCTCTCTCTCTCTCTCTCTCTCTCTCTCTCTGGTGTTCTGCAGTCTGAGGTGCTACGGTGTCTCTGGCCACTAGAGGGCAGACCTGTGCATGTGTTTCTTTTGTATTTGAGAGTAAAAAAAATAATGCCAAAAGTCTGTCTGTGAATTTGGGGGCATTGTGTGAGAGAGTGCGGAGATGATTAGATGTTACATTTGTTGTGGTGATAAGTTATGATGTATACTTTGGCTGGGAGGGGTGTGTGTGTGTGTGTGTGTCTGGTGGTTGGGTTGTCGATAATGACGAGACGATCTAAAACCCCACATTACTCTCTTTTACTTTCTTACCCTCTAAGCTGTGTGGTGCAATACCTCAATCATTACCAATGCTAACTAAGCGCTCTGTGTGTAAACTAGCTCCTCTCCAACCACGGACGCTATTTTGTATAAATGTCCCTAAATCCTTGGTTTTGAATTGCAGGGCACTGATCCCCCGTCCGCCCTGTGCTTTTGAAGTCTATGTATTAGATGAGAATGTTTTTCAAAGAGTCACCACAGTGGTGTCTGCACCTCCCAAGATATGGACAATCTGCCTTTACTCTGGTATAAAAAAACAAATTGAATTTTATTTATTAAATTGTAAATATGTAATGCAATTCAAACAAATGGCTTGGTCTTTGTCTGTTCAATATACTGTTTCTAAAGCTCCAATCTTTTGTATGTCTCAGAAATTGTTTTTATATGTATTTTTTACAATAAATATGTGTGAGAGATGTTTTGTGAACGTCTGTTTTGTGTTTTTAAGTGTCAATGGAGGTTTTTTTTCTGGTTGTTCGTCCTGTTCAGTGAGGCCTAAAACAGGACAGACGAGTCCTGAAGAGATTTATTTTAATAAGAATTTAAAGTGGGAACCTCAAAGATGGAGATATGCACACAATTCTGAAAACTCCACGTCTCAATACTCGTTTTCTTCCTGAGGCCAGCGTATTATTTAAATTGTTTACAATGGGAATGCCGCGTATTTACGCTACGCTACAACGCCAACAGGGTGAGCAGGCGCTGCACTTTGGCGGGTTTTTTCTGTTCGCGGGAAGTTGAAACATTTTCAACTTTGGGTAAAAATGCTGCATTTGTCACAATCACTTTTAAACCAAGCCGTCCAATCACAGTGGAGGAGGGGCCGGACAAATATCCTACTACAAAGAGGTGATCAAATGTGTTTTATTTTAAGTATGTTGTGGTCTTATGTTAAGCTCTTCACAGTGTCCTCATGTCTGGAGCAGTGGACTAAACTTATTTCTCTTGTGGGATAATAAAATGTATCTGAATCTGGAGATGTTTCCTCGGCCACAAAACCTCTTCAGTCACATCCTCTCCCTCCGTACTTTGTCCAGAGCAAGTACTCGACCTTGTGCCGACATTTTTACTTACTTTCGAGTATATTCCGTATCTTAGCACGTCGCCTCCAAAGTGCTCCCAGCTGGGCGTGTTCAGTACAGTGTCTAGCTATAGGAGGAAAAACCCTTTTGGTGGACACAGCAAATGGACCAGGACTGCCACTTTAAATTAACTCCCAAATCTTTCTAAATAACTGTTTAAAAGAACAGCATTTAGTTTTATTTAGTAATTGACAAACTTGGAACATCTTAAGGTATTGGTTCTTTCCTCCCTCTATTAATAAAGATATCTTCTGCATATTAAACTGTACAAATACAGCAGTAGTTTGCAAATGTGAGCTTTAATTCTGTTACTACTGCAATGAGTGATACATTTCATTATCTTTCAAATTTCAAATCTGCTGATTATTTATTTTTTTATTGTTTTGTCTATCAAATGTCAGAAAACTGAAAAAGTCTCACACTATATGTTAATTGTACTCAAGTCTGGACAGTCATATTTTGTCCACACCCCACTTTTGATGGCCTCTGACCCACTGTGAAGCAACAGCAGAGGTTTTAATTCCTACAATGAGTCCTTCATGCTGTTAGGAAGTGAAACTACACCACAGGTTGCCATCACCAGGCGAGGTTTACTTTTTGCGTCATCTCCGCCTCACTCAGCACTGCGGGGTGTCAGACACAACTATAATTCAGCAGAAAAGGTAAGCAGAGCATTAAAGTTACTCTCTATTATGTTGTTTTAACTTGTTAAAAGCAATACCTTCTGTTTACGCTGCTGAACGTATTATTTGCTTGTAGTATTTACTGGTACTGTCAAACATTGGGTTAGATGATAACCCTTTAAAGGGTCTGTTTCCTCATCACAAAAAATATATTTTGCCGTTTACCCCAACTATTATTTATTCATGCATGTACTGATACTCATGCAGTCTCTTCTAAAAACCTGCCAAGAACCCCAAAACACTTAAAAGCTAGACTGTTGGTACATTTGCTTTGTGTGGTTTTGGGGGAACTGACTGTTTTAGCTGTCTGGATTAAAAAGGAAGCAGGTGCATCAATGGCTCTTTTTAATTTAAATGTTTGGAGCCAATTTATTTTCTATTAATTTGAGTGAATTCAGTTTTATATTGTCAGTTAAAAAAGTTATTTTACTTATGTAACATTCTGAATTGTAAAAGAGTATTTTAGGCCTTTCTGGCATTTCTATTTTTAGTAAAGTAAAGGATCTGAGTTCATCCACCGCCAACTAGGACATGAACATACCAGAGCATCGTTAATATTGTTAGAATCATCTGTGCTTTTCCTATTCGGACAAGTCTACATGTCAGCTGTGAAAAAAGGCCTATTGTCTCCTTACTATTACTTGCTGCTTTTGGAGATTGAACCTTGAATGAAATCTCGGGACTTTAGCGGGATATGATTGTTGGAAAACCCAAGACTACATGACCTTCCTAAACCTGAACAACATGACACAACACTTGTATTTCCCACCATGTTTACTGGGAGTAAGAGAAGTGACATCATATGTTTACTTCCTAATGTTTACATTCGTGGGCAACAAGATACAATGATTTTTTTATTTGACTGAACTTCTGTGTTTAACTTACAGTTTCCTCCAGAATGTCAGATAAAGAGACACAGGACGCTCCTGGTTATGATGAGTCCTCACCACCACCTTTATACTCCTACGAAGGACAGCAACCTCCACCCTACTCTGCAGCCCCGGCAATGTGCCCTCCATCTAAAATCGAGACAACCTGCATTTATCAGCCTACAACTGGGTACGAGTCTTTCCAGGACATCTGCCCAGAGGCCTCGTCGGACACGACTCCACTGATAGCCTCATCTTCTTTTGATGACAAGACAGTGAGAAGAGCGTTTGTCAGAAAGGTTTGTACGACTCGCTGTGGACACGTTTTCCTACACCACAATATTTCCCGACCTGTTTTCGGGATCCTTCTAAGGGGCGCAGCTTGCAAGAGACATTTCAGGAATCGCACAAGATGATTAACAGGAAAAGAACGCAGAGGAAATATATTTTTGTAACACAAAACTGGACACTGCAAAGCATGTTGGAGCACAAGAGGTTTTGGACAGCTAGGTCGGATGTTGTGCCTGCTGAATAATCCAACAATCTCTCTTAATAAAACTTCATCTGAAAATGTTTAAATACACCGTTAAGATCAGTTGTGCAGAATATTTAGTTTTTATAACTGCTTGTTCTTCATCGTTCCCTGTGCAGGTGTTCAGCATTCTGACTCTCCAGCTGCTGTTCACCTTCAGTGTGGTGTGTGTGTTCACCTTCTCCAGCGTGGTCAAAGAGGCGGTGCAGACCAACCTGGGGGCCTACCTCAGCTCCATCATCATCTTCATCGTGGTCGCCATGGCCCTCAGCTGCTGCAAGTCCTTCAGTCGACGTCACCCCTGGAACATCGTGGGATTGGTGGGTTACGAATACAAGAGCGTAAAACCCCAAATATCGAATTGGGAAAATGTATTTCACTCGATATAGACACAACAAAACATTTAAATAATAGACCAAAATGACTATATGTGGCTTAATAAAGTAGAAGTAAAAGTTATACAGCTAATAACTAAATAAGGGAGATTAGAAAATATATTCTAGTATGTTAAAGACATTGAAGTAGTAATGATAAAACATTTTGGCAAATCTTTTATTCACTCCTTGGTTTTTCTCAACTTTTATACTTCTCTTAACATTTAAATCGTCCCTGAGAAACTGGCACATTTTTTTTTGTTTCCAAATGAAAACCTCAGTTTCATCCAAAGCGGTTGAGATTTTGTTGGCATTTGAAATTAGGAAAGGCTCTTCCTCTATTGTGAACGTTAAATACACAATGCAGATCACGGCACAAACACTGCAAGGGTTAGGTGGGCGTGCGTTTCTGCACTTCACAAGTTTTTCATTAGGATCTAAAAAAAACTATGATTATTTAAAGATATAAACAATCTGGACCCGTTTCTGTTTGAAGCAGTTAAACGTGAAACTATCTATAAAGCAAAAAATAACTTTCTCTGAAGATATTGGAGGCGATTGATACATTGAATTTTGTGCCTGCAGGTTGTGGTCACCCTGAGCTTGTCATACATGGTGGGAACCATCGCCTCCTTCCACGACACCACCGCTGTCGTCATCACTATGGGAGCAACCGTGGCCATTTCTCTTGCAATCATTGCATTCTCTGCACAGGTCAAAATGCTTCCTGTATACAGACATAGACATCATGATCTGTGTTTATTTTGAGCAGAGCAAATCTGCAGATTTTTCAGTTGCCCCACTTAACCTTTTTCTTTCTTTTTTTATTTACCGTGTTTGCAGACTCGTTATGATTTCACTATTTGGTACGGTGTTCTGCTGATTCTGGTTGTGGACGTGATCATGTTTGGGTTCTTCTGCACCTTCTACTACTCCTACATCAGTGAAGTCGCCTATGGATGTCTGGGTGCTCTGCTGTATTCACTGGTACGGGAGAAAAGAACAACGTATATATATATGATAATAATACTAAACAACACTTCTCTTGCTAAACAGCAGAAGAAACAAAAATACACAGTTCTGTTGTCCTGGTCACCTCAGTAGGTTAAACTGTACTACCACTAATAAAGCCATTAATTTGCTATTACTGCCTTCAGATAGAAATCCAGCAGTTTTGCAGGTTCCTAATTGAACATGTCTGCAACTACAGCTATGAATACATCTTTTGAAAGAAAAAGGAAACTCTGTGTGGCGTCGAAACACACAATTCCACTTCATTTAAAGTACTTTTCTTTACATTTAACGTTGTGACGTGGTTTTATTTTAACACGTGCACAGCAGCAAAATAAGTTTCTTTATCATGATTAAAGGCACTGCACTCACACGCCGGGGCTCTCATTAGCTGCTTTAATTTAAAACATGAACAATGAGTGTGTAGGTGCTTTGAAGGCAACCAAGTCTAAGGCGTTTTATTATTTACATCTATGCTTTTCCTACTGTGACATGTCTTCTATTATAAAATATGTCATTCATTCCTATTATTTATCTGGTGGTACTCTCTCACTCTGTCCTAACTCTTCCTCCCCTCAGTTCCTGATGGTGGACTGTCAGCTGATGATGGGGATGATGAGCTACCGTCTGGATCCAGAGGAATACATCAACGCTGCTCTTAATATCTACCTGGACGTAGTCCTCATCTTCCTCTACCTGCTGGGGAGGAGATGAAACTAAAACACATTTACGTTTTTTTTACGGTGCATGTTCACCTGTACAGAATTTTGACCCGACTATTATCGAAACAAATGAAAGCATTCAATTTGTGTTCTATCGGCATTGATAAGACACATTCAATAGAATTTAGGTAATTATTCCGTAGAAATGCTCACGTTAAACCTGCATGAAAACCTCCAAATCATTACATTGTGTTGTTAAAAGTCAGATGCTGATAATCATAAAGATCCACGAGGCCATTTGTGTTTCCCGCAGCACCAAAGCAGAGACATGATTGAACACAATACAGCTCACGTTGGTTTTAGGTCGTTTGTGATATAAAGCAGCAGGAACAAAAAGTGTTGAGCACATTTTCTCGGAGCCCTGTCTTTACCATTCAGGTTCACTTTCACTTTGAGTTCATGAAACAAGTCAGATATGTGGGTCAATGATTACGAGGTCTGGAAATACTGCAATTACACTTTCTGCCTGTCAAAAGCTGGCACCATGTTCAGGTCTATTATTAACAAACGCAAATTAGATAATGTGTCTTAAGTTGTCCCGCTTTGATTTAGTACTGATCGAGACAAGTGACAACCCCTTATCCATATCTGACCGACTGGAACAATGGTAAACTTTGCAGTTTCCGTCAGGGATTTTTTTTTTTTTTCTTCACTTCATGGCATCAGGAAGTGAAACTCACCACGCCACAGGTTGCGAGAATAACCGAAACCAATCACATGCAAGGTTGTGTTTTGTGTTGTCTCCTCCTTACACAGTACGGCAAGGTGTCAGACAATTATAATCCATCAGAAAAGGTAAAAACAATCACTTTACTCTCTATTATATATTCTTGACTTGTTCTGTGTATAAAGTTAGCCCAAATATCCTTTTAACAAGACAACAAATATCAACAGTTAATAATCCTGCTGAGGGTGTGTTCACTCAGATCACAACTAATTTGCTTAGCCGGTTACTAACTGCAACAAATGATCATTTAAACTCATTTAATTGTATTAATTTGAGTTGATTAGTCAGAGGAAGAAGAAGAAATATGTCTGTTTTCACTGCGGAACTCAGCTCTGAACATGTAAATGTTAAATGCTCAAAAACAGTTACCAGTTCATCCAAATATGTTTTTGTAAAACGGGGTAGATCTACATAACAGCACTGATATCTCTGCCGCACAAAAATTTCCCCAACATAAAGTGTTAATGTGTCAGTCCAGTGTTTCAGTTTATTTGTTATTAATCAAGGTGTACACATGACACAAGCTTCTTCTTCTTTGGTTTTGGTTTTAAAAGGGCGGCTTGCATCCAAAATGTTGCATTTCAGCCAACCACTGGATTTAAACTAAAATCTCCACTTAATAAAATGAACTCCTTCCCATCTATTCCCCACTCTGCTGTAACATTTGTATTTCCCATGACCCTAAAAACTTCCCCAGACATTCCAACAAACAGAAATCCCTTGCTGCATCTCTAAAAAGGGATTTTTCTTTCTACTCCGGTAGTGGTTAATTAACATTGCCAAAAACAGATCCTTACAAACATTCGTCACGCTTCCTGACCGTCTTTGTTCTCCTTATAGCTTCTTGTCACACCTTGCCTTACCTACTTCCTCGTGCGCATATCTTTTCTTATATAACCCTGAATATTTCGATCCCCTCTACTCTCTTTGGACAGTGAGCCTCCCACGCCGCATGATTCACTTTGTAAAGAGGACACTCTCGCTCTTTATCACAGTCTCCTTCACAGTCAGTCTCCCCACATTTGCCACGAGTGGTAAAATCACTCCTACACACTAACAGACGAAACTTCCAACAGCTCTGACATCGTAGCGGTTTGGGAACATAATGCCTTTTTATTTGGTACGACACGTTGTCCAAGAACACTCCAAGAACTCCAAATCAAACTGATGCAAGACAGATTCAGTCCTAAACATTTCATCAATTACTTTGTCAAACCTCTTCATTCTAAATCTGTCCGTCACCGTCATTAAACTCTCCTTGCATCTACTCTGCATGAGACTCCAACAACTACACCTTTAATTTGAGCTTTCTTGCTCAGCTACAGACCCATCCCATCCGCCAAAATCAAGATTTAAAACATTTTCCTATCTCACTATTTGACATGAACTCTGCGATTATCAAGCCGGATCGTTTTGTATCAAACAGTTTAACTTCTGTCACTTCCTGTCAATCCATCTTGTAACAATGTGCTTTTCTTACAAAGCTCCACGTCCAGCACATTCTTTCAGAGCCCGAATCTTTACTCCAACCCTGTAGGTTTATTCTCAACATCCTCCTCCTTCCTCATATTTCTATGGCCCCTCCTCTATTCTGCTCCTGAAACAAACTTGTTTTATTGAATTTCCCGGGTTCCATTTTTCCCTTTGTTTCAGTAAACGTTTTGTTAATAAACGCCACTTGTTCTGCACTAACCTGCTCATCGACCTGGTTCTTCAACATCACACGTTTTCTGATTTAAAACCACCTCATCTGCCCTTCAGCACTACATACTGATTTAAAGCAAAGTAGTTTTACTTGAACACACCTGCATGAACAGGTAATTGTTTGATTAGTGTGGTTTGATATGTACTTCAATGCATCGCTAGAGCTATAAGTAAAGACAGAAGATGTGTTGATGTGTCACAGTAGGAGAACCAGAAGTGCTAGTAATTAATGATTGCTCCCATTTAAATTGAATACAGTCCTAGCTTACTGGGTTACATGAACGTACCAGAGCAATCGTTAATGTTATTAGAAGCACCTGTGCTTTTCCACCGATGACAAGTCAAAATGTCTTCTTTGGAATAAAGGCCTATTGTCTCGTTACTGTAACTTGCTGCAGTGTTTTCAACCTTTGTAAATTCAATCTGTGATCAAATCTAGAGATTTTTTGATCACATGAAGTTATTAAACTAGATAACATGACACAATACTTGTATTTCCTTCCACATTTGCTGAGTATAAAAGAAGTGGCACAACAGCGCTAGTTTTACTTCCTAAAGTTTACACCATTCTTGGCCTTCTCAATCAGAAGTAAGCAACCCTGTACATCAGGGGTGTCAAACTCATCTTCACTCCGGGCCACATCAGCATCACGGTTTCCCTCAAAGGGCCGGTTGTAACTGTAAGACTGTATAACTGTAACTACTCCTAACATATTGGTAAATAACTCTCTCTGCATTTGATTATTGTTTATTCAAGTGTAAAAATATTGTACATGCAGTTATATAAATGTAAAATGATATTTAAGCACATTTCTGTTATTATAACATAAATCATTTTAATGTAGGGTTAAGAAACCCACATTACTCTATCAAAGATCAAACTATTAAAGAAAATAACAAAGACAAATATCATCAAACACAAGTTATTACATTCACTTTGTTCAAAGCTATTTTTGTCACCTCTCTGCATCACTAATATCCCCGTCGTCGTCCCGTGCATGGCAGCTACATCCAAGAGCTCCTCACTGAGATCAGGTCTTATAAACACTGATAGATGCTCTGTGTCCGTGTTGTCTGTGCTTTCATCAACAGCTAATGAAGAAGACGAGTACCTGCTCGTCTCTTAGCTAGCTGTGTTGTTAGATTGCTGCTAGTTCCTGAACTCGGTCTGCGATGGTGTTTCTTCACAAACTGACATTTGTAAAAGTCTGTATCACACCTGCTCACATACCTTTAGCATGCACTGGGCTGTAGCTTTTGTAAATATATTCTGCTGTGATTGCACTCTGCCTTTTAATTCTTGGACAATTTTATGTTTTTCTTGGAGGCTAAATTTAGCTGTTTGGTGTCAAAATACCGACGTGAATAGTATTCCTTCATCACACAGAGGACAGACCCGTTTTTCTCCTTGAAGCACAAACATGTATTCGCTTTCCCATCTTTCATTACATTTTCTTCCCTCTGCATCAATTTTTCTCTTCGTGGACATTTTGGGATTATTTGTGATCTTTTTCAACTCAATCACTTGTTGGAAAACCTCTTTATGGTGTTATCTCTTAATTTCACCTTTCTATCTCATAATTTCGACCATGGGGATACTTTTATTTCCAAGTCTAACTTTAATTTTTTTTTCCAAAATTAAAAAAAAAAAAAAAAAAGAACTTTTATTTTTTTTGTAACTTTTTTTTTTTTGCTGGCGGATTCGTGGGCCATGACGTGGCGGCCGGATTCGGCCCGCAGGCCTTGAGTTTGACACGTGTGCTGTACATGATCATAAAACAATTTCCAGTGTTTCACTGAATGAAACCATTCATTTCATTTCAGCTCAGACACCAAAGTTAATGAGTAATGAATACAGTATTATTCAGTGAAACAGGAACTTCTCACTTCAGCTGAATGTATCCCACCAATCAGACAACAGAAGTTATTTGCCTGAACCGCTGTGTTTGACCCACAGCTTCCTCCAGAATGTCAGATACAGCAGAGCATCTCACATCCAGAGAGACACAGGACGCTCCAGGTTATGATGAGTCCTCACCACCACCGTTATACTCCTACGAAGGACAGCAACCTCCACCCTACTCTGCAGCCCCGGCAATGTGCCCTCCATCCGAAATCGAGACAACCTGCATCTATCAGCCTACAACTGGGTACGAGTCTTTCCGGGACATCTGCCCAAGGGCCTCGTCGGACACGACTCCACCGATAGCCTCATCTTCTTTTGATGACAAGACAGTGAGAAGAGCGTTTGTCAGAAAGGTTTGTACGACTCGCTGTGGACACGTTTTCCTACACCACGTTTTCCTTTTCCTCGAAAAAGATTTCAGGGAGGGCACAAGATCATTGACAGGATTACAGGATAACAAAACAGGAAGATTATATATTTGTAACACAAAATAATTATTGTTCTTTTCTGGACTTTGCCCTAATCTCTGATTTTTGCTGTAAATTATTGGATAAGTTATCATTATCAGGCCTCTGAAGAATTCGTAAAATAAATCAATCTGAGAAGGAAAATTATTGACATATGCGACCTGCAGAAAATGTCTTCGTATAAACGTTGCTTTGTTTTCAGGGGTTGGGAACCACTGCTTTACACAAATCAGAGCCAAAAAATGTAAATCGTGAAAACTATCGATTAAGCGAGCAGGTAGAGGTTCAGCACTGGTTTCAAGCTCATAGTAACAGAATGCATTATGGGGGATAGATTTTTACATGACTTTTACAAGTGTCTCTCTCTCTTTTTTTTGTTCGACCAACCTAACGCGACTTATTTAATGAATCATATTACCTGATTTTATTACTTGTAGACAAATTACCTGTTAAAAGAAGCCGCAAAATAGTAAAAATGTGTTTGTTCAGATTGATTTTAAATCAAACCTGTGCAATACTAATAATTACATTGACATATTCATAGTTGCAATATTTTCTGAACACTGCTGAGCATATTAAAGCACAAGGGCCTCCGTAGAGCGAGAAAGTGAAATAATCCAACAGTCTCTTGTAATAAAATGATAATTTTAGTGAATGTGTGGTCAAGTACAATCTTCTTTTTAATCCATAAAGGGTCACGGATCATGGATGTCAAAATAAATTAAGTTTTATCCCAAAACATTTACATACACCTATAAAATCAGATGCTGTGCAGAGTATTTTCTCTGTGTATTTTCATTAAGTGCTTGTTCTTCATCGTTCCCTGTGCAGGTGTTCAGCATCCTGACTTCCCAGCTGCTGTTCATCTTCAGCGTGGTGTGTGTGTTCACCTTCTCCAGACGTGAGGCGGAGCAGACCAACCTGTGGGCCTACTTCAGCTCCATGATCATCTTCATCGTGGTCGCCACGGCCCTCACCATGTCCTTCAGTCGACGTCACCCCTGGAACATCATGGGATTGGTGGGTTACGAATACAAGAGCGAAAAACCCCAAATATCTAATTGGGGAAATTAATATCACACAGATACCTATATTATAAATACACAATAAAACAATAATAAACTAAAGGGACAGTTAACCCTGAGGTAAAAAGAAACCATATCTTTGTAGTTCAAAAGGAAATGCCTGATATGAATCACAGTCACATCCTCAACAGGGAAGTGAAGTATTTTTGGTCAAGCTGCTAGTATTAAATCTAATTAATCAAAAAGGTACATGAGGAAATATATTCCAGTAGATTAAAGATATTTTAAATAGTCATGATAAGTCATTTAAACCGCTCTACATTTAAATGGGCTTTGAGGAACTGGTACATTTTTATCAAATGAAGCCTCAGTTTCCTCTAAAGTTGTGTTCACATGCAAGTCGTTGAGATTGACATTTAAAATGAGGACTTCCTGTATTGTGAGCGATAATTACACAATGCAGAGCACAAACATTGCCGGGTTTAGAAGTGCACGCCCACAGGGCTTTGTCACTCCCTGAAGCTAACAAATGCCTTGACAGGAGCTTTCTGCTGGAACATGGAGCAGCCGTCTCCCTAGTGAGGAGACGTCACATCAAGTATAGTGATCATGCCTTCATGTAGAGATTGAATAAACACCTCCTCAGCAGACAGCTCAAGGATTTCAAACTTACACAAATATGCTTTATATATACTCGTGATGGTATTCATGAAGCCTGTATCTGCTAAAACAAAATTAAAAATAAAGGTTTCTTGTAGACGAGTGGGCACTTAACACGTCTTAATTCTAAAAGACTGATTATTGAATGACATAAACTATCTGGATCTGCCTGATTGAAGCAGTTAAAAGTGAAGCAAAAAAACCCTTCTCAGCTGAGGGTGATGGTTCATACATTACATGTTGTGCCTACAGGTTGTGGTCACCCTGAGCTTGTCATACATGGTGGGAACCATCGCCTCCTTCCACGACACCACTGATTTCGTCATCACTTTGGGAGCAACGATGACCATTTCTGTGGCAATCATTCCATTCTCTGCACAGGTCAGCGAACCAGGCGGAGCCAAAGAGCTGCATTTCTAAATGCTTCCTACTACAGACATCATGATCTGTGTTTACTTTGAACAGTTGCCTAACTTTGTCTGTTGCCTAACGTATCAGTTTTGAAGTTATAGCCCTCAACGGCTTCTTGTAAAGAAAATCCAATGATAGGCGTTGCAAGCGCTGTAAGTATCAGAAGACTCAGAATGAATAATTAGTCAATTAATTGATGAAGACGCTTGACAGAAGCTTAATCAGCAACTATGCTGACCATTGATCGTGTTTTAAAGAAAGAATATCTATAATTCTTCGGTTTCATCTTTTCATATCATTTTAAAGTTATTATCTGTTTGGGTTTAGACTGCTGGTCAACCAAAACAAGACATTTTAAGATGTCACATCGGGCTCTGGGCGACAGAGGAGGACATTTTACACTATTTATTTGCACAAAAACTAAAATCTATGAATGGAGAAAATACTGAAAAGATTGACTGAAGGGTGATATACTCTGAAGGTTGTGCTATCGGGCTGGTGTGCAATTAAGAATACAAAGAATGTCTGAATGAAAGTACAGAATGTACTAATGTCTCTGCATTCTTTGCAGACTCATGATTTCACTATTTGGTACGGTGTTCTGCTGAATCTGACGGTGGACATGATCATGTTTGGCTTCATGCACATTCTACTCCTTCATCACTGATGACGTCTGATGTCTGGGTGCTCTGCTGTATTCACTGGTAGGCCTATATATAACAACGTGTGTATACATATATATATACATATGTATATATGTATGTATATATATATATATACGTATATATATGTATATATGATATTAACACTACTATTCAAGGGGATGTACCAAAGGGACCACCACAAACGTCAACCTCTATAACCAACGATCCAATCAGGTGCCCAAGACGTAAGCACACATCCAAGGCAAAACTACAAAAATGGCCGACACAGCGCTGAAAATACGCAAATATAAAGAGAAATTAAAACAGACGAAGCTCATTCTATAACAAGAGTGAATCTGGGGTTAACTTTCATTAACGAGGGCTGAAGGAAAATCACGATATTTTTATCCAAATACCTTGATATCAATATTAAGACGATATTGTAGGGTTGACTAGTAATGCTTATAAAACATATTTTCATTGAGATTATTGATAAATAATCATCACTTATGTGGATATAATGACTAAGTAGGTTAAGGCAAATAATAGCAAAGCTGGAACTACAAGAAAATACATCACTTTAGTTTAATAAAGCCTTTAAAACCAGGAAAAGACAACTTGTTTGCCATATTATATTACGATGGGAGGAAGGGACAACTGTGAATGTCTTTATAAACCGCAACCGACAAACTTCCTCATCCTGAAACCGGAGAAGCTAATTGGAATTCAACCATTATTCGTTTTATTATTTCCTACTGTGACATGTCTTCTATTATAAAATATGTCATTAATTCCTAATCGTTATCTGGTGGTACTCTCTCACCCTGTCCTAACTCTTCCTCCCCTCAGTTCCTGATGGACTGTCAGCAGATGATGGGGATGATGAGCTACCGTCTGGATCCAGAGGAATACATCAACGCTGCTCTTAATATCTACCTGGACATCGTCCTCATCTTCCTCCGCCTGCTGGGGAGGAGATGAAACTAAAACACATTTACACACACAGACAGACTGACACTCCAAACTGTAACCACGATGAAAATGTCTTTGTTATTATAATCATGTATATACTATAACTCCTGTATTAACTGAAAATAAATGATTTTCTGTGTTTTTTTTCCTACTGCGACATGAAAATGGTTGTACTGTATTTGTTGTTTTGCGGTGCATGTTCCCCTACAATTATAGAAACAAATGAAAGCATTACATTTCTGTTTTTTCGGCACATTCAATAGCATTTAGGTTATCATTCAGTAGAAATGCTCAAGTTAAACCTGCATGAAGAACTTCTAAATCGTTACGTTGTGAGATTAAAAGTCAGACGCTGATAATCCACAAGATCCACGAGGCCATTCGTCTTTCATACAGAACCAAAGCAGAGACCAAAATGAACACTATACAGCTCACGTTGATATGAAGATGAATGTGAGATAAAGCAGCATGAACAACATTTTGAGCAGATTTTCACATGGATCCATCTTCACCAAAGTTCATTGAACAAACCGAACAATATTCAGAAAGTAATTGACAGAGTCCAATGTCATTTTATGACTCAAGAAGACGCAGCATTGAATATTAACAAAAACAAACACTGTAGAAAAATGTAGTTTTGTTGGCGTTCTCATTTTAATTGAGTGAGCTGCATAAACGTTTAATGGTTTTGTCAGAAAACGGTGAAAAATGCCAGCGAAGCTTTCTTTGAACAACATGAAAAACCCAAAGACATACATATTCATATGACATATTTTTGCTGCAGCTGTACATCACTGAGGAAGCAAACCTTCCTGTTCGCCCCCCCAGTGACAGAAGTGTGTTCAGGCTTCACATCCTTTCCCCCCAAGAACCAGAATCTAACTGTACAGGAAGAATGATTTAAGTCGTACACCGTCCCTGCTTTGTGGGGAGAAAAGCACCCAGAAATCACCAGATTTCGTGCGTCCACACTGTGTCTCACCACAGTGAAGAGTAGTTGAACTTGATCCGCAGCAGGTACCTCATGCGGGTCTGGGCCGGGTTGTAAACGATGAACTCGTTGTACAGGAGGGAGTAACAGCTGTTTTTACCCACACCTGTCTTCACCGCCGGTCCCATGGGCACCGTCACACCATCGCTAAGAAAGAGAGGGAGAGAGAGGGGAATAATGAAAATGTGCATGTCTTTAAGGACACATTAAGTACAAATTGTGTTTTTGTTTCTTCTCTCAGTTACTAGTTTCAGCACAACATGAAAATCATCTTGCAGAGATGAAGTGAAACCAGTTGTTGCCATGTGGTTGGTCCATTAGTGTTCAAGTCACTGCTGAGTTCAGCACTCAGTACTTTGACTTTCATTTTGCTGGTTTTACTTCATATTTCTGAGCAAAACCACCAGACATTTCTATGAAGTGCTTGAAAATGACCGTAAACAAATAGTCCTGCATAGATTAAATAAACAGTTTACGTAGTCTAGCGAAGCACTGAGAGGATACTGGAGTCTCTGGGCTTAATGTAGAACTCTAAAGGATGTCTTGTTGTGAAGACACACTGATGGCTGCACAGGATAGAAACAGGACACTTTGAAGTGTGTGTATTCATTTGTGAAGTTGATAGTAAAACATCCTTAAATTACCCAATTATTTAACCATTTACAAACAGGAACATATAATAAATTAAATGATTCTAGTAGATTAAGTAGATCTAGTAGGTCCCAGGTAAAGAAAGAAGTGTTTAAAGCCATTCATTATGAGCAACTTCTTGTAATATTTGTTCATATTTGTATTCTTGAGCATTATTTAATTGGTATTTATTAGATTATAATTATATTCACTGTGCTCATCAACCAGCATTCTTTCCATATTGTCATGATTTGTGATGTGCAGCAGAAAGCACACTTAAACCAGTGTTTTTCCTGTATGAAACGCGTCCTGTATGACACGTGTCAGTGCAATGAGAGGGACTAACAGATTGACAGCGTTTTTGGGGTTGGGTCCGGTCTGTCCCAGGCCCTTGGTGCTGTGTTTTCCAGCCGGCAGGTTGTTGGCCTCGTAGTCGGCGTCCAGCAGCTCGTTACAGTCTCCCAGAGCGACCTGCAACCACACACAGACGCACGGATGTGACAAATCATGTCGAAGTTATTGTCACTACCAGTCGTCTCCCTTCATTCGAATCTGTTGCCCTGTGTCTGTTCTAACTACAGGGTGAGACGTGCACGAATCAACTCACCTCACTCAGCAGCAGCAGTCCCACGTGGTTGTTCTGAGTGGCAAAGCAGTAGTTGGCGCTCTTTGATGACATGTCAGCAAAGTAGATACCTTTACCAAACTAGAAGAAAGAGAGAATCATTATCACTGGAATAAAGAAATATGGAACAGTTAATAGATCGTTTAAGTCCAAAATGCTCTGTTTGAGACAGACAAACAGTACATGCATGTATATTTTCTGTGCATCCATCCTACTGTACCATGTAACCAGTGACGGGGGCTTCAGGTGGGGCCACTCGGAGCCCCTGGCTGAGGATGCCGACCCAGTTAGACAGCCGGGAACCGTGCCACAGCAGAGTCCTGGTAGACAGACAGACGCACATAGCGGTCTTTACGAAAAGGAACTTTGTAACGATGCAGATTCGGGACGACAATCTGAGGCAACAAGAGCCAGTAATGGTGTGTTTTACCTGTTGTGCATCTGTGAGAGGAAGTTGTTCCTCTCACATTCTCTGTCCACTGAGAAGATGTCAAGGACCGACATGGTGTAGTCACTATGTGTGGAGGCGTGAGTGGAATGTAGATACTTTTCTACCACCTTTACACAGAAAAGAGGAACGATTACAAGGGAGTGCTTTGAAAATCCTGACTGACTTTCAACCCGTCAGTGCTGGCTTTTCTGCTTTGACTGTTACGACACAATTTCATCGACTTGGTTGAATAATAAAAGCACGTGAATCTTGCATCCGTTAGGTTAACGGCAGTGTATTCGTCCCGGCTGATAAACCATGACCTGGAACAGTTCTGAGTGGTAAAACGCTGACCGTGTACTCGTGGCTGCTGGAGTCCAGAGGCTGCATTTGACACTGGAGGGAGCAGTACTGTCTGTCCAGAGGATGTTCGTCACCCTCTCCACTGGACTGAACCATTTTCACTGCTATCTGAATCTCACTCAGAGCCTAAAGAAAGAAATGAGACCAAAAAATATACATAGATAATACAGTATACTTGAGTGAAGACATAAACAGACCACGTTGATTATTATAGAATCTCTCCCCTTTACCTCCAAAAGTGAAATTTTCTCCTTAAGCTCATCTTCTGTACGGATAATTGGCGGAGTTTTCATCCTGGAGAAATACACCTTTTAGTTACATGAACACAGAGATCAATGTGAAATCATTCAGACATCACATCTCTCAACAGCATCAGTGCAACTCTCTGCCTGCTCCGCCACAGTTTCTCTACCCAAAGTCGTGAGGGATGCGGGTGTAGAACTGGTTGCATGCTTCCAGCAGCTCAGGACTGTTGCTCTTCTTCTTCAAACAATCCTCGATTTTCTTCAGCGCGATGTAGCCTGCACGGATCTGCTCCGTGGTCAGCTTGCCTGCAGGTAGGAGGACAAATACTGAATTTTAAATATATGAAACACAACAATGAAAACACTTGTTTGTTCCTGGTGGTATCTGCTCACATAGTCAAGTAACTGGAGCTAGAATTAAGACTATTTTATGTATCTTTGGATCAAAAAGTAGGAACTTGAATATCTTAAAATGGTATATGTACTGTATATGGTTAAGTTAAATTCTAGGCATATGATTAGTAGAAAGGGACCGACCCAGAGGAGCTTTCCGAGTGTCAAACTTCATCTCCAGCACACACTCCTCCATGGCTTTGATGTCACAGATTAGCTCCAGGAGCGACTGGATCTTCACATCCAGCTTGGAGGTCTTCTTCTTGGGTGCAGCGTCCACAGTGGTCAGGTTCTCCTCCTGGAAACAGTGAAATGTATCAATTATACAAAATGATCGAAGATATTGAATAGATGAATGAGTTGTTGGTTCTTTTGCCTTATTGTTCGCGCTGTAGTCCATGAACACCATGTCATATTTTCCAGCTACTTTCTCAAAACTCGCTCGGTGTTCCCACTCATTCTTGGTCTTCTCTAAAAACCTGTTGCAAAACAAACAAGTTTCAGAATTTTACTAAACTCACATCAATGTCCGACATCTGAAAAATATTCTTTAAACAGCACAATCTCACTTTTTCTTGAAGAAATCTTTGGCTTTCAGCAGGTCTCCACCACAGGCTGTCAGACTGCTCTGACCCACTTTTCCCACTAAAAGAAACAATAAAGAAACCACCAAAATATATTTAACCAGTTTGAAACTACAGGCTTGTGTTGAATGTCCTGCGTAAATACAAACATTCAAGCATGAAGAATCACGGGCACATAAACTCACCTCGGCCCCATCGCAACCACACACTGTACGCCCTGGAGCCGTCGTCTTCCAGCAGCTGGAGCAGGTAGTATTTGTTGTTGTTACACTGAAGATTTGTCTGAAAAATAAGAGAGAGTGTTTGCTGGAAGCCTAAAAATCTGTTCACGTTCACACAAATCAAAATGAAATACATTTTACAGTGTTGGTCTGTTTCAGATATCATCAAGAAACCGAAAAGGGGCTGAATTATTACAGTCACACAACGCAAATAAACATTATTCTAAAACCATCAGTGCCTGAAACCCCGGTGAACAATCTGGATTAGAATGTTTTTCAAGTTTTGGTGCAATAACATGTTTTACCTGATTGAGCATCATGTCGTAAACATCGTTCCCTTCACTGTAAACATGAGCCTGAAGGAGAAATTGAACAGTTACGAACATAAATCACGGTGATTGCATTTGATCTGCATCTTGTAAGTGGAAAAATAAAAAGATAATGTTCATGTAAACTTCTAATTCCTTTTCTGAAACAACAAATCAATTCTGACAATAGCTGCAGACTTATTGTCCTTTAATGGACTTACAGTTGCAGCTCTAACTGTATGTGTTAGTTTGGCTGATTTATTAAAGAAAATATACGTAATAAAGATCATTAAATCACAAGAGCAAAAATGACAAATTACTAATAAATTAATAAAATAATAAACTAATAAATGAGAATCCTACATTGCACATTAGCTCCTTAAGTAAACATCAATAACAACAGTAATGTTTTATTATTGTAGCTAATAACTATCTATTGAGTGTTTGCTTGACCTGTGCACACACATGTACATTTCTAAGAAGGTGCTCTGGGTACAACAATCATTTAAAACGTTTTGACTGAATTACGTCCAGACACTTAACAGTATAATAAACCACACACTGTGTCACGCTCACAAGAGGAACTGTAACTGGAGCAGCGTTCACAGCTGTCACACCGCAAGAGTTTCACATCTGGTGTGGACAGAAGACACTTTACCTTTCCCAGTTTGGCTTTACACTCAGAGTCCACCGGAGCTTTTCCCTTCATGACCACCGTCTTCACGACCTCTATTCAACATCCAAAGATCAGACATCAACCATTAGTGAAAGTACAGCTAACACCACGTATAAACATGATGATGATTCCATTGTTACTCAGCAACTTTAAAGTCCTATTTCACATTTTAACGGTATTACATATAAGACAATAAAAGCCACTTTACCTTCACTTTTTATTTCTTCTTTGGGTTTTTTCTCAGTTTTTGTCTGACTCTTGCTCTGCGCTCTCTTCCTCTTCGCTGCAGGTTGCTTCTCCATCTCCTCCTCTTCCTCTTTAAGTTCAACTGGCCTCTCATTTTGAGCTTCTAGCTCACCGGCCTCGTTCAAACTTTCTGAACAAAACAAGGCAACAGAAGAAACATTTGAAATACCTTCAGTAATTTAGATTTCTAAATGTGCAAATATATAAAGAAAAATGTAAAGTTTATAGAATATGTCTACTACTACTACTATTACTACAGCATAAAGAGTTTTCCTTAGTTTTAAGTAGTGAAAAATTTGTAAAAAAGCAGTTAAGGAAATGTGAAATAGTGTGTTTGTTGGACACTATAAGACACTGAAAAACCAACATGACAAAGTTATTGATTAAATGCTAAATAATACACATTGATAGCAAAAATCAGGGGATGACAGGAATTAAATGACAACAATTGTAAAATAAAACAACGCTCGGGCAGAACCTTCCAGACAGATATGACTTAACTCTCACATACCTGGTTTTACAGTCTGAGAGCGAATCTTCCTCTTGTACTTGGTGACGGGATTAATCTGGAGCATCTTCTTCAGGTCGACCTCGTAGCTCGTCCCAGAGCCCAGAGACAGAGTGGCAGACGTGTTTCCCGAAGAGACGGCCGAGTCCAACAAGGCGCAGTCTGCAGCCGAGTATGGTTCCCACTGTCCTTCATCTCCTTTCCACTGCCACACTGACACACACACATCATCATAATTTTAATAGGAGCACAAATATATTGCCAAACAAATACGGTCTGCTATCCTCTTCTCAAAGTACTGACTGATATTAGTCTGATTGAGTAACGTTTGTCCCTTTAAACAACTATTATAAGCAACAGTTTAATCATTTTACTTACCACCTAAGTGTTGTATGTGTGAGATGCATTGACTGAAAGGCATGACCTGATATTCTAATATGTTGGACAAATACATATCAGTGAATCAGCTGATTCAACTGCACCACAAACTCCAGCCTCCAAAATGACGACAAAGTTCAATCACCATCCCTCTAAAACGACACTTGATAAGATTATATTATGTATTATTATATTACATTATATGGTTTATTGCAGGATTAGCTTTGTGGTATGGTGGTTGACAGTGGCTGACATTAACAGGTTTTTACTAACATGCTCAACTCTTAACAGGTAAAGAAGCCACCCTGAGCTAAAACAGTAAAGCCTGCATGGACCGTAGATACATAGATTAACATTTATTTCCCTGCTCTCCTCTGCCCAGACATGTCCCCAACATGACGTCAATACAGCAGCTAACGTTAGCTTCCAAACGGCTAACAGGCACCAACCTGTTTTGGACAGGGCTTCTTCTTCTTTAGTTTCTTGTGCACTCTGACTTTTATTTGTCGAACTTCTTGTGCGCCTCATGGTTGGTTTGTGAAGATGAACTTATAGCAGTAAGTATGTGTGCAATAATAAAAAGGATAACAAAGATGGGGAGGAAAGAAAAACTTTACCCGCCACTGTTTCCTTGCCGGGGGATGTGCCGCAAAAGATCGTTTAACCATGAAGAACAATCACTCCGCGGTTAAAACAAAAGCCTATCGTGACTTTGACGCATGCGCTCTACGCAACACCCTTGTCAAAAACCCGTTACCGTTTGTTACCAAAATAACAAAAATAGTAAAGAATTAACCTTAACTTTAATTGTTCACGCAATGCTAAAGTTAATATATATTTTTAGAAGTAAGTAAGAAGACAAAAGGGCAGAGTGAGTGCTCCTGTATAAAAACCTCCCCACGTGGAACAGAACTTTGGGACCAAAGGTTCCGCGTTAACGATAGTCGGAATTATTTTGTTGATGGACTTGTGAGAAGATCCTCAGCGTGCCTCCGTGCTCGTCAAGAAATGTGGATGAATGTTAAAATTAAAGCCATTTAAACGCAAAAAGTCGCCGGTTCAGGCTCTGAAGATATGGCTTCACGGAGCTATGGTGTCCTCTGTCAGAGGGCGGTGGTCGTGAAGATACTGAGCCGGGTGAGTGACGCTCTTGAGGGTCATTGAACGCAGCATCTTTACTATGGAGGTCAGACAGAGAGGCTGATTAAAGCAGGACTGAGATAAATAAATAGAGTTAATTTATCTATCTGCACAACCAGCTCTGCTCCCAGTAGACCACACAACACTAACACTTACAATCTGTGCAATATAAATACTGTGCAATACTACAATTATTCTGTCTGTATAATATTTTAGTTATTGTGGATTTGTTTTAATTATTTAATATTCTATACTGTTTTATGACTTATTTACTTATTTACTTATTTATAATACTTGTTCAGATTGTGAAATGTCAGAAATAAAAAAGCAGGGAGGTTACCGTTAAGTCACTACAGCTTAAAGTGGTGGTAAAGAGAAGTTTTTGTTTCTCATCCTCAGGGGATGAGTGCAGCGGCACACCCACAGTCCCAGGTAGATTTCCTAAAAGGAGAACCACACAGGAAGCATCCAGGTGTGACCAACCTGAAGACTCTGCGCCTACCTGACGAACTGCAGACGGCTGCACGGTCGATTATTCACAGTAGGTTAAATCATGAACGTAGCTTTCAGTTGATGTACGAAATGTTTCTGTCACCTCACTGCGCCACTCTCCAATCTGTCCACCTGTAGGAGCTCAGGTGACTCGGCTGACCGACCGCTCCCGGAGCCTCACGAACTTCCTGTGGAGCAGAAAGAGAGCCGTCGAGGATTCGACTCTGAGGCAGAAAGCTGTGAGTCTGGAGAAAGAACTTTGGGAGAAAGCGATGGAGACGAGAGGAGGTGGGTGACAAATAGATTAAAAATATATATAATATAATGGTAAAATAACTGCTGAGACAAATGTGCTTTATATTGCAGAAATGGATGAACAATTGCTTGGAGACCGCATCAGGAAGAAAGTGTTTTCAGAGCTCAGAAAAACTACGTATCACTGGACTACCATGAAGTAAACACTTGCTTTTATCTCCACGTTCTTTGACAGAAATATATATTTAAATGACATGTGTGTTTAGCAATAATCTCAATTAATGTAACTGCTGTCTAATGGAGAAAAGGCATCTTTTACCAAACTTAACACAAGTCTGATTTGAACCAGAGCGACCAATATTTAAAGTTTTAAAGCTTTTACAAACGTAAATGACTTGGCAACTCATTTACATATGAGTTTTCATATTGACACTAAAATGTCAAAAGTCTTGTGTTAATATACCAGGCTCTGAACAAAGGCAGAAGTGGAGCCCTGTCTGCGGTCAGATTTTGGAGCTTGTACAGTAACTGGTATGGATGAGTTTCTATACAGCTCACTCTCTGTGTTTCAGGTACGATGAAGAGCTAGGTGTGGTCTACATGGCGGCTCGGCTGGCTGGGGGCTACGCAGCAGTGAGGAGAGCTATCAATGAGGTAATGAACAAAGATCACAGACTAACTGACACCACGGATGTCGTTAACTGGAGACACCGCAGGTGAATAGGGTCAACTATTTAAGTAATAGATATCAGTATGAAACTTCTACAGTTTATTACTTATTGAGACAATTATTTTTTTGTGAATCTGAGAATAAACTCATTTAGAGAAACCAGCCTTTAAATGTATGAAATGTGAAATTCCATATATTTTGATGAAAAAATATTAAACTTCCACTGTTGGTTACCGACATTAAGACAGTTATTTCTTGTATTACAAGTTATTAAAGCATTATCTAATGCCATCTTTTGGTGAATATCTGAGAAAATCTACAGAAGCAAAGAGACAAAGTAATAAAATAAACATTAATAAACAGTATTTTGGATGTTTTCTTTCCACGAGTCTGAAAGAAAGAAAAAGATGTGTTATGGCAGTAAAATAGCTGAAAGTCTCAAAGTTGACCAGTGCATGAAAAACAATGGTTTTGCCTGGAATATATCCCCTTAAAGAGTCAGTCCACCCAGATCACCAAAATAAATATATTTTTATACTTATAGTGGTAAAAATGCAAAAAATAACAAAATAAATGTCCTTATTTCTGAGGATTATGACCCTGAATGCGTTAGGCGGTCAGACTTCTAAATATCTGTTTTATCGTTACAGATCAAGAAGAGGGATCCCTCTTTTGCCCCCCAGTCTCTCCTGGATTTTGGGTCGGGGCTGGGAACAGTTGCCTGGTTAGTGGAAAAAAAACGATGCAACATTACGAGCGTTCTCATGTAAATGACGAGACCTGTGAACCGAGTCTCTGTGTTTCTCCCACAGGGCGTCACACTCGTGCTGGGGCGACACTCTGAAGGAGATGGTGTGTGTGGACAGCTCCGGGCCAATGAACATCCTGGCAGAGCGACTTCTTAAAGGTGAACACAAAAAAAACTTTGTATTTGCTTTGTAACATTTTATTTGGGTAAAATAATTGATCCGAGAATCTAAGTGTTTGATTTTTCATGTTGAGCAGGTGATGACGAAAGAGCTGAACCTCACATCAAACAAGTCTATTTCAGACAGTTCCTCCCTGTCTCTCCTAAGGTAAAAACTTTTGTGTTTTTATTCCAGCACCAAAGAAAAACACTTTCTATGTTCAGTTAAGTTCAACAGTTCCTTAAAATATAAATATATATATTCCAGCCTTCAATTTTTAATTCCAAACAAATCAGATTCTTGCTGTATATGCAACAAAAAAAGAAAGATTTTCTTTCTCAACGACCACATTATGAATAGTTTGACTACAATCAGTATTACCTACATGCATTGTTCTTCAAAAAGCAATAATAATCTTTGTTGACACAAATCCTCACACCCTCACTTTGTTATGCTTTTAAAAGCATTTTAAATATTTATTTTTCAATAAATAGAAGTGGAAGCAGGTAGTTAATTCAGGACTTTGAGAGCACAGTTGTAGTGAAAAGTGATCTCTGGGAAATGTAGTGCAGAAGCACTACAGTAAGCCCATGGAACAGAAGATATAATAAGCGAATGAGGAGGTTGGGGTTCCCTCTTTTACATTTATTTGTTCTTGGAACGTTTTTGTATCTGTGGAGCGACGTCACTTAAGACTCAAGGACGAGGCGCCCTGACAGTCCGGTGTTTCTCCTTCCAGGTGCAGTTTGACTTGGTGGCCGCAGCCTTCACCCTGTCGGAGCTTCTCAATGTGAAGGACCGAGAAGAGGCGGTGTTGACTCTGTGGAGGAAGACAAGCTCGTACCTGGTTGGTTGAACGGACAAAACATCACTGATGTGCACTTTTTATTAATTCTGTTGTCCTTGCACCTTTAGTGACTCTATACTAGATCTGAGACATGTTGTGTATTGCAACTTGTCTTGTACCTAGAAGTCCTCTCTTATTTAATGACTTTTGACTTTTGTAGGTTCTGGTGGAAAATGGGACTAAAGAAGGCCATCGGATGCTTATGGAGGCCAGAGACACTGTATTAAAGGTATTCAAATACAGCAGATAAGATGGGGGGGGGATTGTGTTTGGTGCTGTTGTGTAAATTATTTGACAGAGTTAATGGAAGCAGACTGATGACTTGCAGTTCTGTTTCTCCAGAAACAAGAGAAGACTGTCCATGACACCAGACCAGCGTCAGTGTTCGCTCCGGTACGTTTGAATCCCAGCTGGTTTAAGATATTCTACTTTCAACCAGCTGTGTCACAGTCTTCTTCTCTCTATTGCTTTTCTTTCTCCAGTGTCCTCATGAACGGGCATGTCCTAAGATGACCCTTGAACCCATCACACCCTGCAACTTCCAGCAGATGTACCACCCTCTGTCTCTCCCGGGGGTAAGAAGCCCACGTCTCGATCTAGTCCCGGTGTCAGACTTTGAAACACCCTGGTGTAAAGCCACAGTATCATTACTGCTCATGCTGACTTTCCTGTGTAAAACAAACTAATAGCAGGAAGTAATTACAGGATGAACCACAATTGTGTTACACCAGTTACTAACAAAAGGAAGCAAAAGTGTAAACAAATCAAAGAAAATTGTATTGATGCAAAACAGGCAGCAAATCATAGCTAGAGACCACTTATTTATTAAAATATTTATTTTCAGCACCACGACCGGCAGGCAGAGAAGTTCAGCTACCTGATTCTGACTCGGACAGAACCATCGGAGGCAGAAGCAGAAGGCGTGGACTGGGCCAGGCTGACCGCACCTGTGCAGCGCAGAACAAGACACATCCACTGTCGAATGTGCTGCCCCGATGGACAACTACAACACCTGGTGGTGACGGCACGGAAACACAGCCGGTAAAAGTTCCGCTGCATCACACACACACACACACATATACTGGTTTGATTTGTCCAGAAAAATGTGGTTCAAGAGCGCTAAGGGACTGAATGAGAAATGTACGCGGCAGCAGCATATGGCAGGTGTGTCATGTGCAGTATTTTTTATTATTAGAGGTATTATCAGATTAATGTACATAAATAGAAAAACTGTCAAAAGAAACAAATGAATATTCTTATGTTGGTGGCCATTAGAACTGGGTATTGATTTAATTTGGGTTTGATTTAGTACCTGAGTTTACACTAATATTATTGATAGCCAGTCCTTGTAGTCATGAAATTGGTAAGCTGCTTTTATTGGACACTGAATTGAGCTCATTGTCTAATGTCTCTGATGACAGCGCCTCTCAATTTGACTGAAATGTGTTTCATTTTCTTTAGAGATGTGTACCGCTGTGCCCGGAGCAGCGACTGGGGAGATCAACTGCCAATCATTCAGGGAGTCGATGTCGACACCTAGAGTGATTCAGAGTGATGATTCAGCGACTAAGAGACATTTTTCTGTAGACTTATGAATGATGAAAAAAGGCTGCCTGCCGAGGACTCATCGTTGTTTTTGTTGAACAGAACATCTGCGTTTCCTCACTGGAATTGTTAAATTACCGACTAATGTTACAAATTCTGATTACTCCAATAAAAAGTCACAACATAAGTTCTTCACCCAGCTTTATTGTGCACCACCTTCAACAGATCAAAGTCCATTTCTTGTAACAAGTATGACAGAAATGTGATATTTAAAAAGTCACAACATGGAGAATAAGACATTTCCTCCTGTGTTTCCATACTTCAGGTTAAAGTTCATAAATATCCCTTTAATGAAAGAACTCCAAAGTCCAAAAGCACCACTGATCATTACGGTCACTGTCTATTGCGTAAACCTTAAATGAATGTGATTATGTAGGAACTGATGTGTAGACTAAACGATTAATCAATAAAGATATTAATCGTTAGTTTGCCCAGTTTATCCAGACTGCAGTTCTCACACACACACACATCAGAGTGGTGGTGTTTTGTCTACATGTAGTCCTTCAGCACCTGAACAATCTGATCCCAGTGTGCCCTGAATGTACGCAGGGATTCATCACACCTGTATTTGTCTTTTGAGTCGATGCCGAGCATGAAGAAACTCTCCTGATTCATACTCTGGTCTTATGTGATATGAAAAACACTTTCCAGGCAGTCCTCAGACCCATTTGTGATCTGAAGTTCTTGTTCAACGATTGATTTGAGCTTTCGTATTTGTTCAAAATCTTCTAATCCAGCAAATATGAACACACAATTACAGAAAATCTTACGTCAGCACACATTCTGTCAACATCTGTTAGGTCCCAACGATCTCTTTCAGGGCTGAGTTCAAGTCCGGATACTTGTACTCAAATCCGGCTTCTTGAGTCCTCTTTGGTAGGACTTTCTGGCCCTGCATGAGCACCACGGCCCTCTCAGAGCCCATAACGGTGTTCATGACGAAGCCGGGCACGGGGAAAATGGTGGGCCTCCTCAGGACCCGGCCCAGTTCTTTAGTGAACTCGAGGTTGGTGTTCAGTGTCGGGGCGACCCCGTTGAAGACTTGCGGCGAAGACGAGGGGGTGGCAGCAGGGGGCTCCAGGGCGTGGGCAATGATTCCTGCCAGGTCGGAGACGTGGATCCAGGGAAACGGCTGTCTTCCTGACCCCAGAGTGCCCCCGAGGCCGAGCCAGAAGGGGAGCAGCATTTGCTTCATGGCACCACCATCGCGGCCCAATACTGCCCCTGGTGGAGGGAGGGAGGGAGGAATCAGAATCAGAATAGTGTATATATTGAAAGTGAAGAATCAATGTTTAAGATGGCACCGGGCAAGATTTAGTTCGGTAAAGTTAAGTTAAACTCTTTAGTGAGTAGAACTACTATAAAGAGGAGTTACACTTACACTGACCACCCGTTACCCTGCAAGTAAATGTGTACTAAAATAAATGTCTGATTTAGAAGAAAGACAAAAGTATTAACAGGATTTTCTAAGTGAAATATGGGGTTTTACGTACCAGACCTGATGACAACTTGTTTGGTGTTTTTTGTCACAGTCTCAGGAAGAAGTGCCGAGGCCTCCCACTCTTTCACAAGTTTGGAGAGAACGTCAAACGGAGTCCATTCACTGTCTTCTGTGTACTCAGCTGTCAGACTGGGCTTGTAACAAGCTGCGGGTCAAAAAGCAAACAATGAATGTCTATACCATCTGTGACTTAGTCTGGTCTGAAGTTTAATTCTGAGGTTTTATTATTAGGCAGAGACTCACCTACTCCTGATACCAGGACCCAGGAGTGAGGAGGACTGGAGGAGGCAGCAATGGCTTGAGCCATAGATTTTGTTGTGTCGATGCGACTGGAGAACAGATCCTTTTTATAGCTTTCATTCCACCTGAAACCACAAATAAAATAGACCAGGTGGAGATTAAGCTACATTAAACCAGCTGGAAACAAACCCACAGAAACTGCATTATTACGTACCCATTTTATTTGTTTTTAGTCAATCTTGACAAGAGGTCACATGCATTTTAAATAAAGAAATTCAAAGTCAAAGTGTATGCATTGTATTTGTAGGGTCTGTTTATGTATTGCTCACCATCGTAGTGGGTTCATTAGATTCTCTCCTGCCAAGTTGACGGCACCCTCGCATGGTGGGAGGCCATGAGACTCCACCTCCCCCTGCAGAAGCAGAGAGGAAAATAAGTTTCTAAATGACTCTGTATTTAGAGAAAATTACAGTGATCTGCAATACAGTAAAAAGGGGAAATGAAAATGATTCAACAGACATTCAACCAAATAAATGCTGTTATGGATCAGGAGTGCCCTGGTGAGAAATGACATTGGTCCCAACTGTTTCACTACAATTCTGATTTCATCCTGAGGTCATACCCATGTGATCTTCCCTGGACCAGGCTGGCGAGATATCACCGTCACCTCGTGACCTTTGTGTTTGAGCAGGCGAGTCAGCTCACGGCCCACGAAGCCAGATCCTCCTCCTGCAAGTTAGACAAAGTAGAGAAATGCTCATAATAACAGACGAACCAAAGATGCACACAGAATCCATAATCATTTACCAGCTATAATACATGTGGGTGAGAGAAAAGACAGTTTAGGTGAAATTTGCACTATTTTTCTGCTAATATGTATTATTGATTGAGCTGCATATTCATGTATCAATACACAATGTAACGGATGCAATCAGTGTATCATTGTCTCAAAGAGTCAGAATGGTGCGGACTGTGAATGCGTACTATACATGCTTACAAAACAGGACTTCTGCAAACTTAGCTTTAGATAACAATAAAAAAACAAAACACAATGACAGTTTTCAATGTGTATTCATATAGCTGGCACGCTTCTTTAACCGTCATTGTCTGGACGAACATAATGAACACATAGATAACTTGGTAAGTTACTCTTTGTCTGTAGTCTATGCTCAATGTCTGCATTGCTAACATTAGCTAGCAGTTAGCGTTATGTCACATTGACCTTTCTGAAGCGATATTCAAAACATATACACATGATAATGAAATAACGTACATACCTATCAAGACTCTCATGGTCGTCAAAATTACCGTCCAATGTTGAATTAAATAACTTAACGTTGGTGCAGGTTGCAACGTTTCCTTTAACTGTACCACTCTGAGCAGCGAAGTGAGAGTTCTTTCTCGCCTTTTTGGACCAATAGGTGTTCCGTAGACAGGCTGAAACGTCATTTTATAGTTTAAAACAGTATGTTTAAAAAACAAAACAAATGCCATTCAATCATCTTATTAAATACATCTATCTGTCAATATTTACTTGCTAAAAAAAAAGTATGTGAGTTTAGTGAGTCAAGTGTTTTCATGTGAAGGGGTGGATGACATGTTAATAAGTTAATAACAATTGTAAGCTGATGTATAAAGTTTAATTAATTAATTGAACTCATACTCAAATTTTCACACACGCATTGATACACTTTTGTCACATCTGGTTATTGGTTTCAAGGAAAGAAAGAAAAATGAGCTGCCAATATAGACCAAACAAAACAAACAAAAAACACACAATAGACGGTCGGAGGAGGATCCAAATACAGTGAATATAGTGAACAACAATATAAATCAGCATTTAATAACACAATAGTATTTAAAAAAACTGCATGTTTGTTGATACATTTTAGTAAAAAAACAACCTTTCATTTCAATAATGATATGCACTATACATACATTAAAGAGAATATGCTGTTCATAACTTATGTAAACATGTGTTTTTATAATACTGGCTCTTGTTTAGCCTACTGCGTCAGACCCGGAAGTTGCCTGTCCCCCTACAGCAAACACGTGGTTTTGGTAAAGACATAAAGTGAGCCTCAGCCTCGTCAACAGTCTCTCTTCCTTGTTCCAGTGAAGGAGGTCGGACGTGCAGCTGCAGAAACCAACGCACGTGCAGCTTCTTTAACGGTAAATGTTCACATTTAGTATCAGATTAGTTTGTTTATGTCACAGTTTATGTTTATGTGTGTGCTCGTGGCTGTATGTCGCGGTTATTTCCGCACATATCGTCGTTGTTAGCATTGTGGCTTCATTAGCGCCAAACAGACCGCATGGTCTGTGTTAACGAGCCCAGTTACTCGACAAATAATGGCTCAAATTGATGCTGTGTTTTGATTTAAATGACTTGATTACTATCGTAAGAAACCTCCAGGTGTTTTTAAACTTTTATATAACGTAATAGCACTCTTGCAGTAGAACTACAGTTTATTAAAACTAATGAATTCGTTCACGTGTGCAACAGACGAGCCTTAATCTGACTGTAAACTACGTTTTAGGAGGCTTATCGTGCACTCAATTGCCAGTTCTGAACTAATGTTGTATAATGAAACAGTCCTGCAATAAATTGTAATTGAACGAATATTAAGTGTAATGTTCTCAGGCATTTAAACGTGCTGCAGAGGTATTACTGTATTTTCTTTCGTCTGCATCTCTGAGCAGAACCACCTTTTTGAAAGATGCCACATTTCTACTTATAATAAATCCACTATAAACTGTTCTGCATTACACCAGCAAACCTTAATGATGAGTTGCATGTGAGTCCGTGTTTCAGCTGAAACTCATGATTATTCTTTCACTGCGCTGATGGGTTTGGCAGAACAAATGCTAGTGAGGATGCTCGCTGTCTTTCAAGATGAGACTAACAAACTGTTTTTTTTTTTTTTGTTTGTTTTTTCTCCCAATTTTTTTTTTTTTTTTAGGATCTAAGCGCCTGGACCGGATGCGTTGTAATAAGGTCAGTATCTGTCTTTTGGTTGATTGATGGTGTACATTATTACCACTCATGATTGTACACATTGTAAGTTTATTAGGTCCATGTAGGTCAAATGAATGCAGTCTATTCCTAAGGCACTGCATTCAAACTTGAGGTCTGTAGTTTATGAATTTAAGGTCTTGTTCAGAGGCCACGCCCAGATCTGTTTTATTTATATAAAACAGATTTTCAGGCTTTAAATGCTATTCCTATTGGTTTTCAACAGATGAATCTCTTTATGGCAGCTCTGGTCTTTGTTAATGGATTAAAAAGTGTGGAAGAGATGAGCTGAAGCGCATCACTTTCTGAAAACTATAATCGTTAAATCAACATGTTAGTTCAACGTTTTTTTTGTGTTTACAGGTAAAGGGAAGGCTGCATGGACACAAAGCAGGATCACCACTTTCTGGAATTTTGAAGTTTATTTATAAGGTGTTCACTTAATGTTTTGCTGCCTCAAATAATGGAATGTCTTTATCATAATCTATGCAATTTTATAAAATCCTAATTGGGGGTCTTGTGACACTGTATGTAAGAACACTGAAATTCACTACTAAATAAAGCTGAATGAGTTAACTTGTGTATTGTCTATTTGCATTGCCGGTCATGTCGCGCTTGTAGAACATGCAAGAGTTCATCAGTAGTTTACTATTCATTCTGAGAAATGGCTCAGTGAGTTACGAAGGGGGGGGGGGCTGCAGAAACAATTGTATAAACTCTTTAAGCAGGTAACATTTTAATATATAAAGCTGGATATTCAATATGGTTTATTTTTACACTGCAGCAGAGATCCACATTGTGTAACATGGTTTGGAGACATGACTGGTTTTCTTAGACGGTGGCCAATCCAATGAACTGGGTTCAGTTTGTGTAGTGTTTATACAAAGCTTTTTAAACCAGTTGGTTTGAGGATGCAGCAGAGTCCAGCTCGGACATGTTAAAGGAAAATATTTTCTACCGGTCCAAGTATTGCAAGAGTAAACTAGCTTACAGATTATGTTCAAATGTATCTATTCGGGGTGTTTATGATTCAATACATATTTGTAATGAACAATTTGCTCAGTTGTCTGTTAGAAATCAAATTAATATTTTTATGAAGTGTTGGCTGTAAAACTTTTTTTTTTTTTTCTTTTCAAACAAGTTGCTCCCCAAGTACACTCTGTACTTGTACTGTAGTTAGTTGGTTTTCCTAAATTATTTTCTGTAAATGACAAAACAATAAAATGTAAATGTATTTACAGTTCTGATTTAACGGACGGGTACAAACAAAATTTCAGTTGAACTTGTTTCAACACAATCTACAAAACAAAATGCTGTGCTTTCATTCCTGCATAAAGTTCATTCAATGCTCATCTCCCATTGTTTTAAAAACATTACTTCCTGCTCCTGAGTCATTTACAGATTCAACAGTATTGAGTCCCACAGTGTCTTTACTCTTTTTGGTTCCTGTTTGGTCCAATGACGTGCCCTCAAAGAGCCGGGCCATGAAGGCGAAGCCATTCTGCTTGATGTAGGACTTCCCAGCGAAGGTGTAGAGGACGGGGTTGGCACAGCTGCTGATGAAGGCAAAAGCCGAAGTCACTGCCCGACTGGATTTAGTGATTTTATCCAATCTGCAGAAAGACAACATTTCAGACCACTACTAAAACATACTATCTTCGGGGGAAATGTAATTGGACTTTTGGTAAAATCCTCGAGAGCCTGATTTAAAGATCTTGCTCTCAAATTAACTGAATTATGAAATATATATTTATCAACGAATGGATTACTGAACAAGGCCAATCTGCAAAATGTCCCTGAAGTAAACCGCTGAGACGCAGTATGACTCTAAACTAAAAAATCACTACACAGCAACACAGATTGACCACAAATATACTTTAAACTATAAGGAGACACAAAATCCCTACAAAGTGACAAAAAGACACTAAACAACTGTGAAGAGGCACAAAATGTCCTCAAAGAGACACAAAGCTACGGAGACGCACTGATTTCAAAGAGTCACAAAATGACGAGACAGACTATCAATATCAGCTGTAAATGAATCATAGAATAGAGTTATCAATCCAATGTTATTCTTAATTTTTGTCTGCATTTGTAGCTGGCTATATGTTAGCTCTTGCAAAGAAAATCTTTTGTTACTCACAATTTTCTTGTGGGTGAACCCATCTCGCACCACTCAGCTGCCACCTTGGACCAAAACATACTCAGTGGTCATTCAAAAGATCAGATCATTGAAATATAAGTCATGTGATGAGTGACACCATGAACACGCCCTCACACACCTGCATCATGTTGATAACATGGTACGGCAGCCAGAAAAGACCAAACATCACCACAATAGCCAGGATGAGTTTCTCGCTGCGGACCTTTCGCTGGAACTTGGTCTGCCTCAGGCGTCTCAGGATGAGGACGTAGCACGTTATGATGATGGCATAAGGGAGAATGAATCCCGCCACCGTCTCAAAGGCATACTGAAACCTCACCTGCACACAGGAGGATACAAAACATACTCAATGAAATGATTGCATGTGTTTCTGAACTGAAAATATCAAAACAAGCCAGAGCAAGAAAAATACGTATATTGAACCTGAATCTGTTCATTCACAAGACAAAGATAAACCTTACAAGAGTAAATCAGTATATGCATTATTTTTATGTTTTTCTGAAGGATTTTTTTGTGTAAAAATTAGTAAAACCCTTGTCTCAGGGTTGGATTTAAGATACTAATTCTACAATATGCCATCTTTAAATAAAATTTTAAATCATACATTTTCACCTCTGTTAGGCATACTACACTTTATTCTTTTGATGTAAATTTCTTGTAAGTGTTACAGAAGCGTACTAGTGCAACGCCAGAAAAAAGAAAAATGGATCAATATGTTATTCTGTCTTGTTATAACGTAAAAATATCTTGTTATAACGCAAAACATAAGCTGTTATAACATGAAAATATTTTGAAATCACATGCAAATTCTGCAAAAAACTCTTAAACTAAAGTATACTGATCTTTGTTTTCTTTTGATGATGTGGCAGCAATGAGCTGTCGCAAGTTAAATGTCTAGCTAGATGTGTGTGTGTTTTATACTTCTGTACAATGCTATGTGTGTGTCAAGTGGCGCCCAATCTCAACGTAACTTTATTTTGTATTGTTAATTGTCTATTCATGTGTGTTAATGGCAGTAAAGTAAAAAATATACTTTTTCAGTTATTTGTATGCGTTTGTGTTTATTAATCAATTCCAGCTTTTAAAAACCTCACTGCACACTAACTGCTGCAGCATACAACAGACAGACAGATTTAAAGACGAGCTGGTGAACACAGTGGAGCATTTAGCAGCTAAAGAGACGAAAACAGAGCTAAAAATGAATATTAGACTTTGACCAAACGACAAATCAATTAGTCAAGAAAATAATCAGATTAAAAACGGATAATGAAAATAATTGTTATTGCAGCCCTACTTACATGTCGAGGCAGTGTGTGATTAGGCACGCACACCAGTCTTAATTTATTCTTGTCGTCTGTGTCCTCTCTGACGTCCCGAAACACCAGTGAGGGGATAGAAATGACCATCACCAACACCCACGTTCCTGCGATCACCCTCCTCACGATCTTCTCGGTGATCCGGGAGGACATTTTCCTCGGCAACATCACAACCACGCACCTGTGCACGCTCATCAGTGTGATCAGAAAGATGGAGGCGTACATGTTGGTGTTGCACAAGTAGAACAAGACTTTGCACATGGCGTCACCAAAGACCCACGTCTGCATGGCCAGGTAGATAATGAAGAAGATGGTGAGGGCCATGAGGCAGCCATCGGCACACGCCAGGTTGAGGATGAGGAGGGTTGTGACCGAGCGTCGTCGGATGCGAGCCAGGATGCTCCAGACGATGAAGAGGTTGCCAGGGACGCCCAGGAGGAAGACCAAGCTGAGGATGAGGGTACCCACGGCCGTGGAGAAGTCATTGCTCACGACGCTGTTACTTTCGATGATTTTTAAGTTACCGTCATTGGAAGCATTGACAGAATGATTGGAGTTGTTCATGCTGGAAGGAGATTTGATCCTGAGGATGAGAGACAAAGTTAGAACCTAAATAAGCAGCCCAGGGCATCAAATACCAACGCTTTGTTTGATGCCGACGCACAAGGACGCCTTTAGCATCTGCATGAGACACACCAGGCTTTCAAGTAACAGCGCTGAGACACTCAGAGAAAACTCTCCTGAGTGTGATGATACATGCCAGGTGGCAGGAGAGGTGTTTAGGTCTAACAAACACAGGACTTTCAACCAGACAACAGTTGTCCGTGTCCCAAAGTTAGTTAATCATCGATGTTTCTGATGTGTTTTCATACTTATGTGACATTGTTTATTTCGCATAAGTAGTTATTTTAAGTCCAACCATGATGTATTTTCCTCAATCTAACTAAGTGGTTTGGTTGCCTTAACCCAAGCAAGTGCTTTAGTTTGAATTCACAACATTAACCACGTGTTTACTGCGACTGGATGACCCAGTGTGTTAGAAAGTGATGCCACGATGTCTCGATTCTATCTGGAATGAGAAAATTTTGAATAATGTCTCGCGTTAAACGTCCAGTGTGTCGTAACAAAACAGAACAATTCCTATTTTCAGGTGAATATAAACTAAAGAAAACATACCTATTAATATAATTCTACTTATTTGTTGATTCCCTAAATTTATACACACTGGACGTTTAAAGTATAGGAAGGGGACTGAGAGTATTTATATTACACAGGGTTGTGTGTAATGATTGATGCATGTTTTAATTCAATATTTATTATATTTGAACTTGTATTTGTATTCATTGCATTATCAGTACTAGGGTCTAGTGTCTACCCATGAAGCTATCTCTGCACATCTCTTCTCTTTGTATGTGAGAATTTTCTTTTCTCCCCAAAAAAACATTATGATATAGTATTTCACAAGGATGGGTTTTATGATGAACCTTTTTATTTATTTGACACAATAAATACTAATAATCATGAGTAAAAACACTAACGGTGGATTTATTTTTCACAAGTATAACAACTGGACTTTATTAGTGTATGAAACAAGACTTTATTCACTCTGTTTATCACTACTGAGTATTCAGTGTCACTGGAGCAGAGATAGAGATCTTTGCTGGTTCTCATAAATTTATCAGCCCATGTTTCTGCTAACCTTGGATGTTTTTCTTTGTGAGCAGATGCAGAACTTCCTTCAACACTGATCAGATCTCTTATCTTGCACACTACTTATTATTTTCAAAAGTCAATCGGTAGATGTTTTTATGAAATTTTCTCACCTGATGTCTTCAGAAAAGGTTTGAGACTCAAACCTGACGTCAGACTTGTCTTTTGAAAACTTCCTGAAAATATTTATTGCAGTCTTTAACAACTGGCTTCAAGGGCGTTTTTTAACAGCTTTTGATAAAACCGTCTTCACATGATGTGTCTACACGGTTACAGGAACATGCGGTGAAACAAGAACTTCCTCTTCATAGAGACATTTTCAAACTGTGAACAATGAAAAGAAATCGTAAAAGAGGAAAGAGAGGTAATAGAAATTCCATTAACTAAATACTGTGTTGGTGATTTTAATCTTTCACTGAACACTTTATTCAGATTAGATGAAGGCCTGATTGTTGGATTTATGAGAACACCTACTTGTCTAAGACAAAGATAGTGATGGTCTGGAGAATATAATCTGCCATTGCTGAAGATAAACATTACAAAATACTGTTCACCAATTGTACAAGAGGTGTTTCCACAACTAGAGGATGGCTTCCACCCTGACGCAGTCTCTAAAATATTCACATTAGATCCTGTGGCCGACAGATCAAACTCAGAGGCAGCATGCTAAAACATGCCAAACATTAGCAGTACTGCATCATGGAAGAGCAGTATTTCGACACACTCTAAAATTTGTTTTGTCTTGAATCTTTCTTTCTCACTGTCCTGTAGCGGAAACTAGTAACCTGCAGTGCAGAAGTCACAGAGGGTTGACTTTTAGGGAAAAACACTTTTACTCTGACCAACCCTGACTATTATTATACACGAATATACAGAACAGAAAATTTAAACATGAGTGATGTAGAGAAAGGATTGATAAGATCTCCGCAAAATGACATTTCCTTCTGAGAACAAGACATCCAGCCCTTATTTCCTGATTAAGTCCTAATTTCCTTGCTCTGGTCCCACTAAAGCAAACTGTTTATTTTCCCCTGATGGCCATAAACAACAGTGATGAGTAAACACTTAAAAGCTGTTACATCACTAGAGTAAAATGCAATGGAAAGCCAAGTCTGAGCAACAGATTGATGCTGTCAGATGAAATCTGTTTTCAAGTTTTTAATAAAACAAGGCGACATAAAGCCGTTCCAGCCACCAGATGAACATGCTATCTATCAGTTCAAGTAAAAACACAAACATCCTCAAATTATAACCTGATGTTGCAGTAAACATATGACGTTATGTACTGTTGGAATGGATAAACTAATAAAACTGATGCAATTTACTGAAAAAAAGACAAGCTGAGGAAAGAACTGTGAAAGTCTGCAAGAGAATCCGTCAAATGGGAGAAAATACAAAGCAAATATATGTTTTCTGACAATTTCAAGCAACTATTTGGGTTCTAAAACAACAAAACAAAACCTGAGGAACTTTTGAAAGAATCTGAAAATGACTACAACACTGTCATTGACTTTGCAAACTCTGGAAACTTTTTTTTTGCCAATAAAGGAACAGCCATGGCTTATCTTGCCGTGCAACGTTTTAAAACAATGATTCATAGGTTTGTAATAAATCTGCAATGTGTAAATAATCAAGCCAACAAAAGTAAATTATTATTTTAAGAGGCAGATGTTGGAAAAATCTTACAGAGAGAGAATGAATGAAAATGTCAATACGAAGTCCAAAATCAAGTTTTCTAGTGAACGTTCAAGAGTGACTGACCTTCCCAGGACTTGATCTCTCTCTGTGATAAATGTCCGATTCAATTATCCCACTGCTGCTGTCCGATCTGTCCGACAGCGGTTCCCTCTTATGACGGTCACTGTGAGCTCGGTTTATAATAAACTGAATCGCATCCTGCCCCACAGGCTGCAACATGCTGTGGCTAGAGAGAGAGGGAGGCAGAGAGGTGTGTCCTTCCTTAAAACTCTCACTCCCTCTATCTTCAGTGCTGTATCATCTCCATATATGATTATGATCCTGTGGAATGCATCCATGCTATAACATTGTATGCACTCAGGGATTAGTTTTTTAAGTAAAGAAACGTGCATTCTTTTTGGAAGCATGTCCCAATGTCTCGTATCAAAATGCTTATTTGGGTATCTTGAGGCACTTTTCACTCTGTGAGTCAAGTGTTGCATAATATGAAGTAATTGGTGAGTCAAACTCTTGCACAAGCTCCCTGTTCCATGGATGCTGGGCACACAAGCAGAAACATGCATACAGACAGCACACACACACACACACACACACACACACAAGAATTCACATCCAACTAGTTCACACACGTTTCTGACACTGACAGGAATGCTGGAAACGAGAAGAAGCCCAAAGATGAAATCTTCTTCCTTCCAGGGAAGGTTTGCTGAACATGCATGCTCATGGCTCACATTAATGCAGTTTCAGCACTTATACACAATGGAGACGGATGACTTGAACTGAGATTTAACTGTCAGTCACAGTGGGCATCTGAAAACGAGAAGCTGAAGCCGGAATCAACTAAGTGTTGTTGAGTCTGAATAAACTCCAAATGCTTTATCACTTTGGAATCCTGACTATTTATTTTATCGTTCATCATCCTCTATTTCTACTTTGATGCCACTAAAAGTATTGAAATATTTATCAAAAGTGAGGGGATTCATTTATTTATTCATAATCAAAACAGACATCACAAGGCAAAATTATGGAAAGTTCTTCTAAGCGAGACTCCCCAAGCAAAAATAATTTTGGGCTATTTTGCTGCCATAGCATGTCTTCTTTCAGACTAGTGGAAAGAAATCATCCAAAATACACATTTAGATTTTTTTTTTACTACTTTGTCTGTTTACATTTGTAGGGTTCTCCTATTTCCCCAAAAGTTATAATGTAAGGATTACAGATACTTGAACCCAAAAGCACAACTCAGAGACAAAATACAAGTTTAGTTCTTTTACTTGAGTTCAGGCAGGGTCAAAACCGAGAGGTCAGTCAAACAGGCGAACAAATCCAATAAGGGGCAGGCAAACATCCAAGGTCGCAAACAGGCAGACAGGGTCGGAACAGGCAGATCAGAAACAATATAAAGATACGCTGGAGAACTTGGCAATAACACACAAGACAATCTGGCAGGGAACAAGTGCAAGTGAGGAGACATAAATAGTGAGGGCTAATGAGGGAATGAGCAGCAGGTGAGATGGGTGGGGAGGACCAGGTGAGGGGAATGAGAGGTGATCGGGTGTGAATGGCAGGATCTGAAATGACAGGAGAGTTAATTAAACATGCAGGCAGGATGAAAACAAACTAATATGAAGGGGAATTCGTGACAGATAATGCCTCATTTGCATATTTAAACATAACATTTCAGAAAACTTATAATAAAACAATAAGTTGTCTTAATAAATAATCAATTGGGGAAATTTCATGGTGATATCTAGATGTTCTTATACCCTATATTCACCTGTAGTGTCCTCAAAATGAATGGAATTTTACAATAAATATCTTTAAAGGATGTTTTCTCAAAATGTGTTTTGACACCTGTAGTCTCTAAGGAGGTAAAGACGGGTGTGGTTCACTCACAGTCCAGGATGAAGTCTGTTTGCTCTTCATATCATTTATATGTACATGTAATGTGTTACAGAATGTACCAGGAGTGATGAAAAACCTCTGGTGATATTGATTTGAACATTAACATTTCCCTTTTCATCGTAGTATTTTTTAAACAATGTTACAAGTTTTATTTCTCTTTAAAGGGAACTTATGTTTTAACATATATATCAAAAATACAATTCATGTGCTTAAAGGAAAAACATCATCAGCTTGTCTACAGTATTTAAATACATTGTAATTATATATTCAACTGCAAAAAATGTACTTCAGTTGAATCCATTGTGTCATTCGGTAAAATAAATCAGCTTGAGTTTCTCTCTGACGTCAGAGTACAAGTTGCAAAACATATTTCGGTGATCACAAAAATCCGTGTCCTCGGGCTGTGAAAGCAAGCTGTTGAGGAAAGTTACAGAAAAACTGTTTCGTCTTTCACCACATGATGGCAACACGTCAACAGAAATCCCTTCCTCCCTTTTCTCATTTCCTCCCATAAAGTTGACACTCAGCAGTTCCTCCTGTGTGCTGCACTCATCCATCTCATTGCAGAGATCCTTCAAACAATTTACTAGCCATTCAACTCCACAGTTTCACAACCCCCCCCCCAAAAAAAACTTTCCATTTATATAAAGGCTCTGTGCCTGAACGACTGAATATGTGTATACACACAGAACCTGCATGTAGTTCAGCTTTATTAAGCAGTTGGCTTGGTATTCATTGGAAGTCTTGCTGCTCGATCACATGTAAAAACTCACAAAACTAAAACAGTTGTTTTTACCGCATTGGCAAACCATGTCACTTTAAAGGTGCAACGTGTAAGATCTTGCCAGAAGTTGAGTTAAAAACATTTAACATTTTCAACAGAATGTCACAATTTTGACGTTTCGTAAAAGACGTCTACGTAATTTCCTGTCTTGTAATATCACTGTAGCTTCCAGTCTGTCCTCACGAGAAGACGAAGAAGAAGAGCTGTCCCAACGACTTGTCCCAACATCAATTATACATCCACCTGAGTGTGTTTTGGCAGAAATTTGAATACTCCCATAAAGTACAACTCCCGCCCTCGTCTCGTCTTCCCTGCCACCGTGAGGCAGGACCCCTAGTTAGCACTTAGCTCAAATTTGGCCACTGCAAATCCAAGTACCTGCAGTCTGCAGGGCCTTTTCATGCCGGATCAGCAAACTTTCATGTTGCTGTCTTTAACACAGGTTAGACCCAATGCTCCACCAGCCTGCAGTGACTCCCGTCGCTGGGGTCAGGCTGGCATCATCCAGCATTTGTAGCTATACCAACAAAGAATAATGCGCCGTAATTCGTAGGTATCCCACAAAATAATTTCCGATGTTATCCACGTAATCATGAACGTGGAAATATAAAGTCTGCAAAAATGAAAGACATGGCAGGCCGGAGGGGAGATGGATGGGAAAAATGAAGAGTAACTTTTTGTAAGATGTCATACGAATCATTGTGTGAGGACACTTTGTTGTGGTTTGTGCCGGCTCAATGCAAGTTGCTGAAGCCGCAGACTGGAGGTCCATCTCCCGGAGGTGCCGAGGGCCGACCGCTCGCCTCCTGGCAGGGTGGTCTCCTCGCAGAGATGGATATCTGTGTTGTTTGTCTTATTTCTGCCACTTTGGATTTAATCCAATGAACCAAGTATCAATGCATACACACACTGTACAACACCCATGAAGATTATAAAATAGCAGTGTTACTTAGATCGGCTCTGAGAGTTTCAGCAGCTTGGTTGAATTTTTGCGTATTCTTGCGCCGCTGTTAGTTAGTATTTGGCTTTTTTTGTGTATAACTGATGACTGTAACTTTAGATTGTATGAACCTGGTAGTAGAGGTGAAATACTGCCCCCTTTGGAGCATGTGGTCAGATCTTACAGATTGCACCTTTAATTCAGGACGCCCATGTGAAGACTACTGAAGCTCTAGCGTAAGTTCAGACAGGAAGACTATACTCTTGCATGCCTAAGCCCATAGCTTATTTACCATACATCTGCCATCACTCCTCATGCAGGCACACTCATCATTTCCTTGCTGTTATTGTTTGAGGCTGTCAATCACGATATCAGCTGTCTAGATCAGCTGGTCTCTCTAGCCAATAGTACAACGACCTGAGGACATCGTTAGCCTATCATCTTGCTGCTGTCTCTCTTAAATATGATTTTCTCTCTACCTTCAGTACGTTCAGGCTGCAGTTGCGCAACCCTCCACCTCCCCATCTCTGCCCAATCTTTGCAGATTCATCAGCTTCATCAACTCATCATTCTATCATCCTCATCAGCCAACATCACCACCAGTGTCTGGACTCCACGGGGGGGATTTATATTGTTGCCGCTCAGGGCAATCACAGCTCGATCACAAATCTCCTCGTGGAGTTCAAGCGCCAAAGAATTTCTGTGTAACACATTAACGCAGCATCTGTCATAATAAATGTTAACTATACTAATCATTCACTTGTCTCTCCTGATTGAACTGTGTAGTTAATGGAGATTTGGATCAATTCAAAGGCAGCTAAACCTGAAAATAGCATACATGTTACACTGATATTGCACATGTTGTACATATATGTATAACACATTGCTGTTTTGGGTCTGAAATTTGTCTTACTGTGGATCATAGACTGTATATAAGAAGTGGACATAGTCACCTTGATGTTACCCATTGGTTTGTTGACTGCTGTTTTGAAGTTTCGAGTTCAGCATTTTGACTGTAGCCATCTTGTTTTTTTCCAACCATAAGTGACATGAGAGGTTGGAGCTGAATACAACCGAAAGCAGAATAAGACATTTTCTGGCGACCAAAAAAGTTACAGTTAAGCGTCATGAAGTGAAAAAACACACTGTGAAAAGTTTAAAGTTGTAAGATGAAAACACCTCCCAGACCGGATAACTCCATGGAAGCGTCCTAAAGCATACCCTGCTTTATGGTCTATTTGGCTCTAAATGGACCATCATTTACTAAATGAACATCATGCTGTATTGAAGAAGACTTGAAACTAGAGATTGAGACCATAAACTCATGTTTACAATGTTTGCTGATACATCAAGTGAGAAGTAGAGTCGTTTTCTCATACACTTCTATACAACCAGATTTTTGCAACCAGAGGAGTCGCCCCCTGATGGACATTAGAAAGAATGCAAGTTTAAGGCACTTCAGCATTGGCTTTACTTTACAGGCCTTGAGGTTTCCATCTGGTGAGGATCTAATGTCCATGCTAACTGTGACATAATGTAGGATAATCAGCCAGAAATAGTAACAAAATTAAAGGCTCCTTAAGACTCCATTTTTTAACTCCCATTCGATTCATTTTTACTTCCGGTGTTTTGGAAATGTACACTTCCTAATATTGTTATCGTGCCCAAAAGTGCCCCATAGGGATTTGGTTTGGGCATGAGTTAACCGATTCTGCCTTTGGCTCCAAAAATAATTGCGTCAACCTTGTTCGTAGCACTTTTTCCTCTCTCCAAACAGTCTGTAACATCTTGAGATCAGGATCCAAGGCCAGCCCACACAACCCCAAGAGGATGACAGGGAGAGCTAAGCAAGCCCCCAGTTACACGCCAGTATAACATACATAATGATTGTGAGAAATCAGATGAGGAGGAGGAGGACAGAGAGGAGGGGAGGAGGGGTGGAGGACGGAGGAATAAAGAGCTGGACTGAGGCGGAGAGAGACAGAGAGAGAGTGTTTATTTAAGTTTTTCGTCTCCTGACTCAGACAGAGAGCAGACTACAGAGGATAATGAGAAACAGATCTTTGGTGGAGAGGGAGGGGAGGGGAGACTCAATAGGAGGGACGAGGAGGAGTTGGTGGGGAGAAGAGAGGAAGGAGGAGTGGGGTAAAAGAAAAAAAAGAAGAGGAAAGGGGGAGGAGAGGGAAGAGTGACAGCCAAAAAAGGGGGGCTGTCGTGTTCATCGCCACAGGAAATAGGCCCTCTATGTTCACTAACTGACAGTTAACATCACAGCCCTGGTGGTCATGCAGCCGGCCTACAATAGCAGGTTAGTGAGCTGCCATGAGTCCTGCTCATGATTGGAATAATAATCATATTGTTTTTGGGTTATATGTGTGAAAACGTTATTGATGTTGAGGATGCTATGGAGATAAACTTAATTGAAGTGTGTGTGTGTGTGTGTGTG